TATTTTGAGAATTTTGAAATAAAAATTTATATTTAAAAAATATTTTTTAAATGAATTGGATTTAATAAAATGAATTTATTTATTTTATAAATTATGAAATTATTTAACAAATTTATTTATCTATTTAGATGGATTTTAATAAAACAAATATGATAAAAAGAGAAATAAAAATAAAATTTCCATTCTAATAAAAAAAGCAAAAAATAAAAATAAAAAATTTATACGGAGCAATAAGCAATTAAGAATGAAAAAAATTGATCTACGAAAAAGTTTTCAAAAAATATTAAAATACAAAAAATATATTTATTTATTTAATTTTTATTAAATTTTTAAAAAATTACAATCACAAAGATTTGAAAAATAACATTTTGGATTTATGAAAACGATCATTTTAATGTGATGAATTTGATATTTATTGCATATAAAATTTCGTATTTATTATTAGAATTTAAATAAAAAAACAAAAATAAAAAAAATATTATTAAAATAGAAATTTGTAATATTAAAATTTATTAAAAACCAGGATGATGGTAAAAAAAAAAATCTAAAATTTTCCTTAATTCGGATTATCGATGCTTTTTCCGTTTTTTGCAAGATTTTCTGCAAAGAAACAAATATGTTCACTGAAACAATATTTTTTTTTATGAAAATTGTGATTCATTAGAATTGCTTCACTATTTGGACGCAAAAGTTGAAGCAAATTATTCATTCGTGGTGATAGGCGTATTAAAGGTGAATTCTTTGCAACTTTTACACCAGGCTGAAGAGATAATAACTCAATAGATTGCAACAATGATCGTTCATTGTTATTATCGCCTAAAATCGAAACGCCTTCGGCATTCTGAAAATTTAAAATATTTGATAATAAAAAATAAAATAATATATAATATAAAAAATAAAAAATAAATAATAAATAATAATAAATAAATTTTAAATATTCTAATAAAAATAGCAAAAAGTAAAAAATAAAAAATTTATACGGAGCAATAAGCAATTAAAAAAAAAAAAAAAACATTAACAAAAAAGTTTTCAATAAATAAACTTAAATTTTAACAAATATATTAATTTAAAAAATAAATATATTTTAATAATAAAATGAATATATTTTTGTTTATGCGTGCGAAAAGGATTTTTTCTGCTTCTGTAAATATATAATTTTTAATTGTTAATTTAGTAATAATCAAATAATTCTTAATGATTTAATCAAAAAATAGTATAGAATAATTTAAAATTTTTAATTTTTAATTTTTTTCATATTTTATAGTTGAATTCGACTTTTTGTCAATTGGATATGAGTAAATTTATTATGAAAAAGTAAAATAGACTCGAGGATTCAGCCTATATTGCAATTCATTTTGGCAAAAAATTTACAAGCCAAGCTTAAGCCAAAAATATAGCAATTAGAAGAAGATAATAAACTAACCATTAAAATATTCACTGAAATAATCAGCAATAAAATTTTCATATTTTTAAAATTAGCCATATCTAAAAATTTTTAAATCAATTAAAATATTTAATATTGAATAAAAATTTTAAAATTTTATGCTGTCTTTCTAGTTGAAGAGCAGGAATAAATCTATTTTAACCGATGCTGGTGACCTGTTTATAGATAAATATATTTTTATCAGTGTTAATGATATCAAAATTCGTATCTCTTCAAGTGACTCAAAATTCATCTGGTCTAGTTTGCATAATAAACCTAACCAAAAAACCTAATCAGAACATTCTTAAAAGAACTAAAAGTTAAGACGAAGGAAAAAAAAGCGAATTTTTTTTTTTTAAATATTTAATAGTTTGACGGTGATTAAACAGCATGCAACTTGCCCTTCGACAACATCAAATCACTTATCGCCAAATAAGAAAGAGCTCTCAGCTCTAACAGTGAAGTGAAAAATTAGAAATAATGCAAATTATCGGGAAAAAATTCGAGAAAGGAGAAGAAAGAAAAAAAAAATAAATAGGAAAAATCCATCGCTAATCTATCTTAAACAATTTTTGTGCAATAAATATCGCCTCAGGATGGATCGTATAATTTGAAGATTGAATTTTCGTTCCAATAGAACGGTTAATATATATTGAAATAGTCGAATTAAATTACATTAATAATAATTAAAAATTAATAATTTTAATAATTAAAAATAATTAACATTAAATGGAAGCATTCTTAAAGACATATTTATTCATGTCGATTAGGCAAATCACCAATGGGCCAAAGGACTCTTTCCGGAAATGCACCTGCCAACCAACTGCTATATTATAAAAGAATATATATAATATATATATACATAGAATTTGAAATACCATAAAACCTTTTCATATATTTATTATTATTATTGATAATTTAGAACATTTCGACATTCGTTAATCTTTATTTTGCTAATTTTTTTAAGTAAAAAAAAAGACATTCATGACGAATTCTTTGAATAATCAAAGAATAATTTAGTTCTTTTATTTTTTTTATCCATCTAAAGATGATTAATTAATTTTAAAATTTCACAACTAATTTTTAAAAATCTAAAAATTTTATAAAAAGTTATCACAAAAAAGCTGATAATAAAGCTGATAAGATTTAATGTTGATAAGACGAAAAATTAATAAATTTTGATAAGATTTAAGAAAATTGAAATAAATTAGAGATGAATTTTTTTGACATATACAAATAATTTTTTCTATAAAATCAACTATTATAACATAACGGATGGAAATTATCTTAAAAAAAATATTAGCGGCGATTAAATATCACTCGTTTAGTGCTAAAAAAATCGGTTATTTCGATTGTGGTAATTTTTAATGGCAATTTCATTGCTATAAATTTTTTAGCCCATTTATGTCGAATTTTAATATATAAAAACGACTAAAGCGATTATTTAAATTTTATTTTTATTGACGAAATTATTCGCATAAATAAAAATTTAAAATTTTTAACGAAATTGCTTAAAAAATTATTTATTTCTTATTTCATATATCCTTTAAATTATTAAAAAATATAAATATTTTCTTAATAAAAAAAAAAAAAATTTAACTTGATTTTTGATTCATTTATAAAATTCTTTTTAAATTCGTAAAAATTAAATTTTTAATAAAATAGAATTTAAATTAAAATAGAATTTAAATAGAATTTAAATTAGAATTTTTAAATTATGAAATTTTCCCTTTCTTCTGACGTAAACCTGAAATTAGAAATGAAAATTTCCTGTTGGTTGTTAAAAATTATGGTAGGGAAACTATTTTTTTTGGCTCTTTCTTCTTTTTTCCAGAATTATATCCATAAATGTTTATTTAATAAATTTTACAATAGATTTTTATATTTTATTAGATAGATTTATGACGATTATTGTTGAGAATGGCTAATGGGAATGGCTTAACAATTCTGATTCGATTAGCTTCGTTGATTGATTGTTTAGAAAGTTTTGTTAGAGAATACAATGTGATAACACTGTGATAAAAATGCGCTGCCAGCATCATCTGAATTTTTTAATAATTGATTTATTCCTGTCGAATGCGTGAAACGAAATTTTCCCTGACAACTACAATAATAAATGGACCATTCTGATTCGGCTATCCTTTCTCCTGTTTTTAGAAATAATTAAATACTAATGCTCACTTTCCATTTATAAATCCAGTAAAAATATAAGAAATCCTAAAATATTTAAAAATCTCTAATAATATTCAATAGATATTTATATTTTGAGAGAAATTTTTCGAATGTTGGAAATACATTTCACTCAATAAATCCAATATTTTAGTTAAATTTCAATTCAAATAAATCCAATTCCTTCTTCTGGGAACAGAATGGCTCAGTGGTTTGTTGCTCAATTGGGAGCGCTGATGCTGAGGTTCGATTCCCCGCAGGAGTTAACCTGTATTTCTATCGTCAAAGGAGTCCTTAGCATATTGCCAAATGCGACAAGACAGTGGAACGAGTTTGAACAGTAATGATGAGGACTCTTTAAGAAAAAAAATTTCTTCCTCTAATAATTTTTCTTTTTTTGATGAAAAATTTTTATCGAAATGTAAAAGAAATAAAAAACAATTGCTTAATCAACAAATGATTATTAAAAACAATTAAAATCAAAATAATTAATCATATTTTCCATTAATCAGTTTAAATGACTAATCACTAAAAGGTTATTTTAAAATCATTAATGAATTTTAAATAAAAAATAAATTTCTTTTTTTCTTACAAATATGAATTATTAAAATAAAAACAAAAGGATAAATAAAATGAAAACGAGTTTTATCTCAAAATTATTATAAAATCCTTTGCATGTGAATTTGTAGTTTCTTTTATAATTTGTAAAAAAATATTTAAAATATTAAATAAAAATATTTATTCATTTAAAAATAGGCTAAAAAATAAAAAACAAGAATCAAAAAAATACATAAATAGAATTTTAAAAAAACTTTCTGAGCTTTGTTTAAATGAGGCATTTTGTGAATTAAATTTTTATATACATATTCTACAAAAGATTTTTATGAAAATTTTTTGTTTACGAAAATTTATATTCGAATTTTTTTAAAAGAGTGCTCAATATATCCAATTAGAGTGGCTTCGCAGGTTTTTTTTCAGACCAAATCTTGTCATTTGCATCGAATAAATGACCGCTACCATCACCCGAATTTTTGAGCAAATTTCGGCACTATGAAATGAAACCAACAACCCATTTATTTATTCGCTCTAATTTATTAAATTTAATATAATATATGCCTAACAATATCGATTCAAAATATAACAAATTAAAGTGCACTAAAGATATAAATATTAAAATTAAAAACGATAAAATACAAAAAACAAAAATATAAAATAAAAAATACGATATGAAATATTAAAAATTACAAAAAATTACAAAAAATGTTAAAGAATTAAAACTTAGAAACTTAAAAAAACTTTAGTTTTAACAGTAAATAAATAAATCTGCACTTTATTTACGAATATATAAAAAAAACGAAAAAATTTTACAAAAATCCGAAATAATCAAATCAAAGAGAACCATAAATGTTTAATTGTTGTTACCACTTACTGCATTAATTTTTAATTGATTTCTACAAAATTCTTCGGCTTTTTTGAGAATCATGATTTCTGACTGTTTTAATCGATTTATCATTAAATTACGATAGCCAGCGTTATTGAAAGTTTTATAAGCCAAATGAAGCAACATAAACCGATCATGAAGAAATTGCCATGCTTTTTGAATATTCTCGAAAGAATTTAACATATCAAAACTATTAGTAGCCATATTATCATCCATTACAAAAACTTTAGCAAACAATAACAAAGAATCTAAACTATCATTCTGACGTAATTTGAATTGATAAGAAGAACCTTTGGCTTGAAAGCCTAATTTTTTCAATATTTCATGTTTTTTATGCGAGTTTTTCGGCAATCCTAAAAAAATATTTTATTTGAATAAATATTCTGCACAAATATTTTACTTTATTTTTTTTTAAATTTTTTTGCATTCCACTGCAAAAATAAAATTTACAATCAGGAACAAAAAAAAACTGTCGGCAACTTAAAAGTTATGAAAACTAACCAAGTTTCAAACTGTAAAAGTTGTTTTCTTCCGAAACACTTGGCACAAAGCCGTTATGTATAAGAAACTCGCAATTGCCTCTATTGCCATAATAAATATTGAAAGTTTCATTACAAGAATAATCTTTTATAGCCATTAACTTGGCACAATCTTCTTGAACAGAAAAATAGACAACATTAAAATCTGGAATACCACTAAAGTGTTCGTGATTTGCCATATCCAAGAAAGGTATTAGAGAAGGCACCTAAAATTTCCATCCAAAAAATTAATACTTTAATCAAAATAAATTATTTGCCGAAATAACTGCAATAATTGAAAAAAATAACTAGAAATTGAAAGTAACTTACGAGCAACGGATTACCAATTTCATCAACAGCAATCTTGCTTGGAATCAAATTTATTCGAGTAGATACGGAGGAAACTGCCCAACGATACAATTCAAATGTGAAATTATTAACAGTAAGTGGTGTTTCAGCAAACATTGCCGATTCTTCTTTATTCTTAAAAATTGAAATACCAGATTATCAGATTTATCGCTAAATCTGATAATCAAGTGAACGAAATAGACTCAAAACTTAACAAAGAATATAAGAAATTTTCTCAAGTAAAAATTTACTGGTATTTCAATCTATTCCATATAAATAAATCGACAAATTAACAAAATTTGAGCGCCAAAAAAAATTAATTTGAAAACGAACGTCCGAAAACTGTTTATCTGTAGAAGCGATTTCCATAAGAAACGAAATGAATTGACGGGAAATATTGCGATAAAACAATAATGAATCCTCATAGGCAGGTGAAGGAAATAAACTCTACAATGATAATGTGGAGATATAATCAGAATTAAAAATAATTACTCGCATAGGCACTAGTCAATCACTTGTAAAAATGGCAAATTATGGAATTCATAAATGATTATACAAAAAAAAACAAGAAAAGAAAGTGAATTAAAAATCAAAAAAAAAAGGATATAATGTGTTTAACAACAATACCTTCATTTCGTCCAGTTCATAGAATAAAGGTGTGTCATATATTATCGGCAATATATTAATATAAGCATGCCACATTGAATCTGGTCGCAATTTTTCACAACAAAGCATTAACGCGAGTGCAACATTTTCCATCGACCTAACCACAATATGATTCTCGAAACATTTCCTTAATTCAACAATCTTAAAAAACTTGAATGAAACATTAAAATTAAACAAAAAATTAGAATTAAACGAGAAATTAACACAAATTTAACTCGATAACAACTCAAGAATCGAAAAAAAATTCAAAAAATTCTAGTCAATCGATATAATAGAGAATTTAACATGAAAAACATGAAAATTAATAAGAAATAAAAATTTGCACTGATCGATTCATAAGTAGATAGCTGCTAAGGACACAAACGTGTCTCAAATTTCCATATAATTCTATGACGATGGTGTTATTTAAAGGGCGCCACTCTCAAATAAACTTTGAAACTAAACAAACATTTCCAAACTTTGAAACTAAATAGAAATGGAGTGTTCTCATAGAAAAAGAAAACAGCGATATTCACGTCATGAAAATCCCACCAAAACAATCCTTAAATATAATATAAAATAAAATACAAACTTTAGCATCGGCGATTTTCTAGCAACATCCCACGATAAAATCGCCTTCCTTGGGACTTGTAAAACATTCGTATCTTTCTGAACTGAAAAGATCGTTTCTAGTTTAAAGCCTTTTATATCGTCATCATATTTGATTGCGATACCATTCTGCTTAATTTTCATTCTTTTAGACCATTTTATGAAAGGTCGCAGAAATTTTTCTCGATCATAACTAAAATTTATTTCAATTACAATATAAAGCCATGGAAAAATAAAAAAAGTAATTTAAGCGCTCGCTCACCTAACGTTAGATGACTCTCTATTCTGCAAAAGGGTAATTTCCTCAATTTTATTCCGCAGCATTAGATGTTCATTCCATAAATCAACAACTGATTGACTCGATTTGACAAAAATAGTCGAACTCCATAAATAACTATGCAAATTTTCGATCTTCTCAAACAGCATTCTTTTTTTTTCAGCGTCCATTTCGCTAATATAAATCCAAATCGCTTCGATTCATCCAAAGCCAAAAATCGACCTGTATTTTCATTTATTTGAAACCTGTTTAGCGTATTTTTATGGATTTTTATGGAATCAAAGAGAAAAACCAAAAGAACGATGATATTTTAATAAAAATTTAATAAAAATTGTTTTCCAGTTTCTAAATTTTGATAAGTGAGAAAAAAAGAGAGCAAAAAAAGTTGCTTGTCTTTCGAGAAAAAAAAAAATAATGTTCTTAATGAATGAATTCTTACAGAATAGTTGAATAGCAGTTATTACGAAAAAAAAAAACTTATATAATGAACAATTATAATTATATGAAATACAATTAATTAAAGTTTAAAATAGGCGATAAACAAACCTTCTTTTTTTTAGTAGCAATTTCTGTTACGATACAATAAAGTTTGCATACTACAATAAAAAAGAAAAGTAAAAGAAAAAAGTAGTATTTTTTTAAAAAAACTGCTTGGAAAAACATTTGCATAAAATTTCAAAATTTAACGCAGACTTTTAAAAATGTCCAATAAATCGCTATTTCATAATGAAAAAATGGCAAATTTTAATGCCATTTTAAAAATTTTGAAAAAATTTTCAAATTTTCGAAAAAATTTTGAAAAAAATCCTAATTCAAATATTCCTCCAAAATAAAAACATATATAAATTCTTTCTCTTATAATCTGAAATGGAAAAATTAAAAAGAAATTAAAAGAAATAAATTTGAAAAATGCATAATTTAAATTAGAAATTAAAATAGACAAATAATAGAGCAAATTAAAATTGAAATATGCCAAATTATCAAAAAAAAAATATTACAATTATTAAAATGAAAGATTTTTTTAGAAAGAAATTTGCGTACAAAAGTAAATGAAATTTAAGCACAAATACTAATATTTTTTCTAATTTAACTTAGCAAATTTTTTTAAAATTTGATTTAATTAAATTTACTATTAAATTTGATTAATTAAATTTGAATACTGGGCGAATTTCACTTTTATGGCTGAGTGGGTAGCGACCGAGTGGCTTACTTACTGCCGTCAACTGTCGTCTCCATTCGCCATCAAGAATTGAGAAATCTAGGCGATGATGCTTGAATAAAATCGATACAAAATAGTATTCAACGATCATACCATCTGATTTTTAGTTTTTTTCTAAAAGTACATCATTTCTCTCTCGGTTCGGCAAGCTTTCACGGATGGGAACAAATAAATTTTGGCCAAGGCTCACTTGGCAACGGAATAAGCAATAAATCGGCAGCACCACTTTCATTTTCAACCTTATTTCTCGTGGGCACTGAACTCCAATATAGATGTTTCAAAATGAGAGCAAAAATCCTCCACTCAGCCATTCTAATTAATTAATTAATAGATTTTCCACAAATTTTCAAACGTCTAAAATTTATTAAAAATTATCTATAAACTAAAAATTTCCTAAATATTTAATCATTTATAAACTATTTAATTATTTAATGCTAAATAACGTGTCAGAAACTGAAGCAAGAATAGGACTGAGCGCTCAATGAACACAAAACGAAGCGATTGGGCCAATCGAGACCTGGACTGATACGCTCAGAAAGCGTATAGGTGGACCAGCGATATATGGACTTAGACGATGGAAAAAGGAATGGCTTCTATTACTTTCGACGATGGCATCAGATCGCGTCACTTGGAAGCGTCTTACTGTTGCAGCCAGCGGAACCGGCCTAACTAATAAATGGTGAGAGGTGTTAGAAGAAGAATTTAATTATTTTAAAAATGAAAACATTAAGATTTAATATTTTTTATTTAAAATATTAATATTAAAATAAGAAGAAAATTAAAAAAAATTTTGGAAAAAAATTTTGCAAAAATTAAAAAGCTACGGTAAAAGTCGTTCACGGTCGGCTTAAATTTATTAAACCTCGTTTTGTCGCCTTGTTTCATCGTTCCAATCCTCTCCCTTTTTTTTTTCGGTAATTAGGATACTGATAACGTTACTAATTATGTTGTCAGCTGATAAGTGGTGCGTTTTATTTGATTTTTTAATTTATTATTAAGAATTCTGCATGGTTTTGCAAATTCTTTTATTTTTGAGAGTTTTGCATAAATTTTATTAATTTTCGATTTTCGTCCGTTTATTTTGCTTAATGCGACGACAATAAATGTGTCGCAATTGCTTGCATTTATGCGACTCTTTCGTGGAAATTTTTTTTTAGAAAATTGCCATTTTTCTTAAAATTATCATTTAAAATAGCTAATAATGAAGTCAATAAATGTCTCCTTTTTTATTTTCAATAAAAAATCATTTGTAAATTATAATGGATTATAATTTGCTAAATTAAACTGCGTGGCTGGACATTTAGTAGACAAGTCCCTTATTGAAAAATTTAGTTTTTCTTAAATAAGTTTTTTTAGCTTTTTATCAGTCGTTTTTTTTGCGTTCTCTTAAGAAATAGCTGCTAATTCGTTTTGACCTTTTTTTTTTGACCTTTCCATTGCGTTAATTACACGTTGATTGTTACACGTACGTGAAAATTTCTTGATTTGCTTGAATTTTGAATATGAATAATTCCGTACGATTATTTAATCACCTTGAATTATTCTCGAATGAAATCAGTTCAAATTTTAGATCAAAATTTTATTGGCATATTGCCAAAAGCAATATTTTAGCTTTCGTTCATTTTTATTATTTTTATTTTTTGCTATTATCGGCATTCATTTCGTTTTTTCGTGACGTTATCGAGAATCTTTAAAGCGATTTTTGATCGGATTCCTTTTTTTTTTTTAGTTTTTCAAATTATTCTTTTGTGGGTCAAACTGAGGTCAATAGGTCAAGCAGCCTCGAGTTCATGCTAAATTCAAGAGGAAAAACAAATTCGCATCTTTCGCGATCGTTTTTTTTTCAGCGATCTTGAAAACAGAAAGGTAAATAAAATGTTTCAAGAAAGCAATAACCACGCTTTGACCTTCGACCTTTTATTCCCTTTTATTTTAGGATATAAGGATTTAGCTAAGCTATGTTTTGCCTCGAATTGCGCTAATAAAAATAACTCTTTTTACAGACATTAATTTTTTTTTTTTTCCTTATGCTCATTTAAACTAAATAAAATACTTAATTTTAGGTGAAAAAATGGCGGAAAATTCGATGAATTTAAATTTAACCGGTTCGCAGAAGCGTTCTCGTTCAAATACGCAGTATAGTATTGTAACATTGGATCTTTTTAAACCAACGAGTAAATCATATCCCGAATTTGATTATTTCAAAATTGCTCACAATTATTTGGTAGGTTTTTAAAATTAATTATAGAAAAATATTAATAATAATAATAATAATAATAATAATAATAATAATAATAATAATAATAATAATAATAAGAATAATGGTGGTATTAACAATGATGGATAGTGATGAAAGTGATAATAATAATAATGATAATAATAACAATGTTGTGATAACAATAGTAATAATTATTTTTTATTGTAATCATGTGAATTCTTTAATCCATTAGGGACGCAGAGGGGTTTTACTTTAGTTAATCTATAGATGGATTAGCTAAAATCGGAGGTGGTAAGTGTCGTTAGAAAAAAAGAACAATGCGCATTATTTTGAAGTCTTTATTGTCTAATACGATAAAGTTTTTCCAAGATCGTTTGGATTATTCCTTTTTCATTCGTTGATGCTTATATTTTACCAAAATCTTCCTTATTCCTAGGTCTCAGATCTTAATCGAATCTACTCGTTTGAAATAATCCATCGCAAAATGTTACAGGATATGATTTATAATAATTAATAATAATTTTATATAATTTTTTTTTAAACTTTATTTCGTAATTTTCGTAATTTTGTATTCTATTTATTTATAATAATTCTATAATTTATTTCATAATTTGCAAGCAAATAATAATATATTTGTATATAATATATAGTATATAATATAATATATAGTAATATAAAGTATATAATAATATAAAGTAATAATAATATAATAAATTAATATAATAAATAATAATATAATAAATTCTTTATTACGTATAGCGTATATTTACCTAAAAATTATTTTTTATTTCATAAATTTTTTATTTTTATTTTATAATTATTTTTAAATGAAAATTTTTAAAAAATCTTTAAAGGTTTAACATTTTCAAAAAAATATTTATAAAAATATTTTCAATTATTTCAAACTTTAATTACTTCCCTTACGATTTCACTTATGAGAGGTTCCCTTCTTTACAAATCTAGATAATACAGTTTAGTTCCTTTTCCGTTGAAATTTAAATGTTACATTTTTTTCTATTACTTTACTTTATTTATTAGATTACATTTTGGTGCTTTTCAATTTTTTTTTATTTTTCGGAGATTATGCATGAATTAAATTATAAAATATTTACAGGGCCAAGATGAATCAAGTGGAGATGATGAACGTTTTCATGATAAGGAAGCTGAAGAAATCGTTAGAAGGCTCGAGCAAAAATATGTAACTTTTTTTAACTTGTGAAATCCTTCGTAATTAACGCAATAAATAATTATTCATATTCATTTCATTACTGATCCTAATAAAAGTGATATTTGATTTATTTTATGAATAAAACAGGTTATAATCTTCTCTTTAGGTGAGTAAGAATTGTGTATGGCTTTTTTCAATTAAACTTTACCTTGAAAAAAATTCCCTATTATTTATTGAAATTTGGAAATTATTAACTTAGTGTTTTTTTTTCTTAGTGCTCCATTTTTTCCTGAAATTTGTATGGTTCTTTATGTTTAAAATTTAAAATTTAAAATGTTTAAAATTTTATTTTCATGTTTTACATAAGATGACTTCATTTGATGGTTATTCGTATCAATAAATTTTTTATAATTTACTTAATGGTTTTTTTTTTTAATACAGGGTGGCTCAACTGACAAACGAGGAAGAAAGTTGAAATTCGGTTCAGCAGATGATTATATGGATAAATCAGCGGGATATGATTTAAGTGATCCTTTTATTGATGACGGTGAAGCAGTGGGTTTTTATCTTAATTGGTATAAAATCTTAACGGCAAAGAATGCAACCAGAAATAAATAGAACAGAAATTGATTTTCTTTTTGAATTATAAGAATCTTATTTTATATATATATTTTTTAATTTCTTGAAAGTTCACTAAAATTTACTTTCTTGGAAGGTTTTTTAAAATTGCTGGTTAATTTTTAAAACTTTTGGATTGGAACTATATTTTTTATTTTTATAGAAAAAATTAAAATGTTTGGAGTATATGTACTGAATGGAATTTATTTGATTTCCAGTACGATGAGCATGTACCATCGACTATGGATACGGTGAGAGGTGGATTCTACGTGAATAGAGGAGAACTGGATTTTCGATCTAAATTTGGACATGAATCTAGTGGTGATGAGGAGGCATCGTCATCATCGTCTCCAGTGAAGAAAAAAGCAGATAAGGCTCGATTTTTTATCTTTAAATTGTTTGATTTGAAGCATTGATATATTGGTGATATTTTCAGCGGAAGCCGTTTTTGAGTGATGAAGAGATAAATAATAAAGATGTGGCAATTACAAATGTTCAGTCTGCTGCAGTGAGCGAATCTGTGTGTAATGATGGAATACAAATAGATGAAGCACGAGTTCGGCTATCTTCAAGCGGTGCTCCACCAACGAGAGCTGGCACCAACAGTGCTTTCAAAAATTTAGATGCGCTTAGGCGGCGTCATCTTCAATCTCCTGCAGTAAAAGCAGCTATGGTTGTCAAACGAAAGTTAGTACTAATTTTTTGGAGAATTATGATTAAATGGTATCTTTTCTGGAATTTATGAATTGTGTTGGTTGTATTAAATAAATCCTAATTTTGGTATTTCTAAATGAGCTTGAGATATGAAGCGAATGATGTACATTTCAGTTGTACTTATTTGAATTACTTTTGAATTTTTCAAAAGTTAAGATTAATATCAACAAAAAAATCTTCGTCAACTAATGCAAATCAGACTGGAGAATTGGCCAATTTTTTGAAAGAAATGAGTGGTGGCACCGAAATACCTGTAGATGAGTCAATGAAAACTGTTGTAAATCAAGTGTCGAAGGAAAAATTACAGGTATTTTTTAGTAATTTTATATGGTTATTATCAATAATTTTTTGATTATTTTGAGAAAATTACTTCATATTCAAATGTTGAATTTATAAAGTTATTCTTTTAAATTCTTAAATTCTTTTCTTTCAAAATTTTCAAAACCAATCTTATTGGTATATTATTAATTTAGAATATCTGACACTATTGTAACATAAAGTAAATTATAGTGATACTTTCGCATGTTTAGCTTTATTATTATATTTAAAACCGTTTTATAGACATCGTTGCCATCAGATAATAGCAGCAAAATAAAAACTACTGTACAATCTAAGAATGAAAAGGAAAAAGAAGAAGAAACAGATGAGAAACGTCATACAAAACATGAAGAATTTGCCTCGGCTAGTAATGTTGAAAAATATTTGCCTGGGCAAAATGATTCTGTTATAAGGCAACCTCTTGGAAGGCCACCCACATCTGATTTCTCTGTAATTTTTTTGGATGTGAACACTTCATTTACTTCATTTTCACTTAGTTCAATTATTTTAATATTCAATTATTATTTTCACTTAATTTAATTATTTAAATAGACTGCTATGTAGAGTTTTGTCATGTCACTTCTATATTGATGATATTTATTTTTTCACTAGTTATTTAGAAAACCAAATCGGTGCCTATATTATCGAAAAAACTTAGCGATATGATCAATTTATATAAACAAGAAACGAAAAATTTGGGCGCTCCAACAAAGAAAATTCGTCTCCCTCTCAGTATAATTGATCTTTGTATTAGGTTTGTGTTTTTATGTGGATATATGCGATAGTACGACTTTGATTTCATTTTTTAATTTCATTTTAATAAACGAGCTTCTATTGTATAGTATATATTAATAATGTTTCAAGAATCGAAGATCAGTGTGCAGTTGAAAACTTCAGTATTCCCCAAAAAATGCGCATTTTTGAATTGTTATCAAACTGGGTAGGTATGCAGAGAACTTCCTTGTATATTCGCATGAAGGCTCACAGAGACAAAACTGATGTATTTTTTTTTTATCTTTCTTATTAGAGGATCATTTAAAAATTTTTACTGTTCATAATTATTATTGTTCGGTATTATTTCTGCAAAAATCTTTTTTGACAGGAATTGGATGCGGTGGTGGATTCTGTTGCGGCTCATGATGTTCAGAAGGTTACAAGTACTCCAAAACCAAAAAATGATTCTTATAAGGATTCTCATACACGTAACTTGCTGAAACTGGAGTCTTCAAACTCTGACATTGCTTTAATTACACTTGATGATGATTCTAGTCATGATAGTTCTTCACCTTCTTCAGCTAATGTAAACCTGCAGAGCTCGTCGCCTAAGCCGCGCAAGGACTCAGTTTTGTTCGCTGACCAATTCTCCAGAGTTTCCCAAAAACGTGCTAGCCCAGTATCTAAAGTGGTAAGTGGATATTTATAAGATCAAATATTTTTGAGCAAAAATGGGAAATATTGACTATATTTTAATCTAATGTTGGCATCTAGTTTCTTTAGTCATCCTAAAATTTTCGTGGATTGTTAAAAATTCAAAAGCGTTTTATTGGAATTCAGTCATATTCATTTGTTCAATCATTATAGGTAACGAATGCTACATTGTTAGCCGAAGTATCGAAAAAAATAGTACCAAAAACTGCTGGCCCTAACAATGCGAGTTTGACTGCACTTTTTTCTACAATCACGAAACAGACTCAAGGTGACCCACAACTTCAAAAACAGATCGTTGAAAATTTTTCAGCTCTTCAGCAAATAAGTGGAACATTGATGTCCTCTAACAATAAGCCGCCGGAATTATTGGCCAAATACCAAACAACTCTGAATAATTTTACTATGTATGCTTTCAGATTCAATTTTTTATTTTATTAATAATTACTTTAATTAATAATTTTTATATGAAGGATTGGGGGTAAGATGATTTACGTCTCATTATTTTCAGGCTTCTTGCAAAGAATAATTTGACAACAAGTGCCCAACAAAATCCCATCACTGCCAAGCAGCAAGCTGGAAAAAAGATGCCGATGGGCGCGGCAATTGGAATAAATAAAGCTCATAGTACCCCACTCCAAGATACCGGAAAAGTGCATTATTTTAAGAAATTAAATTTATTTAGAAAATTGAAATTCTGAAAATATTTTAGAGTGGCTGTTGCTATTACGGCTTATTCGAGAAGTACATTAAAAATTTAAGGCAATGCCTACTCAAACGAAAAAAACCGTTCCTTCAAAAACTGGTCCATCAGTTGGTACTAATGCAAATCTTTCGGCACAGTCTACCTTAAAATCGATCGTAAATTTGGCTGCTAGTGGATCTGTTTCTTCAGTCTGTGATCTAAAGGTATACCAGTAAAGTTTTGAATGCATAATATGTTTTTAAGAAATATGCAAGTGAGATGGAAGCAAAACATTGCTATTGTTTCAAGAATTCTCACTTTCCAGTTTCATATTTTATATTTATTTTATATTATTTTTAATATATATTTTTTATATTTATTTTTTATTTTTTTTATTTATATCTTTAATATATTTAAAAATATATTAAAGCTGATATCTTCGAATTTTTTTATTAAGATTTTTTTAGCTTTTTATTTTTAATCTTTTTATTTCCGCAATTGGATAGTACACCAAAAATTTCGAAATTCTTATTGTCATCAATTTCCTCATGGATTTTTTATTTTTATTTTTTTTATAAATATTTTACCAAATTTCTGATATATCTTGGTTCAGATTTTTGTTTTATATATTAATTTATTGCGGAAAGTGTGATTGATTTTCTTATTTTTCTTTCTTTTCAATATCTTTCCTAATTTTCGAACAAAATTTTAATAGAAATTTAGTCTGATAGGATGTTAAAATATAGGAGGCATTCTATTATTAATTTTCATAAATGGTGATTTAATTTTAGAATGGTAAATCAGTTGGTGAAAAAGCGAAATATGCGTTAAAACAAATAAATGCTTCAGTTAGTTTGATTAATAAAGGTAATATTTATATTTTGCTAATATCAATTGCCGTTTGCTATAAATTTATTACCATTCAATATATTTTGAATAATTGCAATATCTAAAATATAGGCTGAAAAGAATGGCAATTTTTACTACTTATTAATAGTTGATTTCCATGTGAAATTTTCCATTTATAAATTAACTAAATCGGCCCTTGCATACAAAACAGGCAAGCCAGCGAATCATTTTAACTGTCGTTCTTCCAGAGTGAGATTGTTAAAAGATCTAGCTGTTGTCAATTCTTTAGACCAGCAACGATTGCAATTTTTTAAATATTTGTAGCTTCTTTATATCTTTGAAACTCAGTTAGTTCCTTTAAAGCTCCATTAAACTTTGATATGACATACGCTGTTAGTGATACTGACCTATAATTTTGAATATTACTTCAAGATTTTAACGCCTTAAGGTGCCATTATCATTTGTAATTTCTTGTTATGGTGCTAAATATTCTCAGAATTCTTCTAATACTCTTTAATTTTGTTAAATTCTGCTGATTTCTTTCGCCAAAAGGATGTGCACAATGCTTATTCCATTTTATTTCATTATGGCATTATAAAATTGCCGTATATTCTTTCTTTCCAACCCACTATTTTCTCTAAAAATCAATTAACGTACCTTAATTGCTCTTTTGCACATTTTTGCCACTGTCCATCATGATATTTTGAATCTGTTGTTTTAATTCCTCTAAAATTCACCCGTTTTAATGTTGTCCTCATCCATTATATTCATTCATCACTTTCGTGTGATCTTTGAATATCCGGGATGTTTACCTTTGCCACACGCAGTTAAAATTGGAAATGGTGAAACTAAGGCAAGAAGTGCGTAAATCTATTTCAGATATGATATTTTTATAAATTTCACTTTTCAGAAATTGACAGTGCTATAACATTAACTGATATAAGCTATGATTTTGATAAAAAGAAGTGAGTGGTTTTAATTTTTCTCGTCACTTTGTTGATTATTCAAAAATTTTATCGTTTCACCAGAATTGGTTTGATTTATTTTATTTTCCTTCACCGTTTTCCTTACTTCATTTTTTTAATGAATTGTTTTTGATAAAGTTTAAATTTTTTGATAAAGTTTCAATTTTTAGATTTGAGAGAGACTTATGAAAGATATTTTAAATTTTTTTCAATTGTTCTAAGCATTTTTTATAATATTTAACAAATATGAAACAACTTTGCAGCTTAGAGCAGGGCGGAAAGGGAGTGGTGTCAAGGAAATTTAAATGGACTGATGGACTGAAGTAAATATTTTCATTTTTCATTGATTTAATTTCTTGAATCATGCAAAGTATTTAACATATTTCTTAAATGTTAATTTAAAAAAAATTATCTTCATCTTTTAGAACTAAAACATTTTTCAAAGTGATATTGTTTTAAACTAACATTATTTCAGAAATGCTTTAAAAAATGTGGTAGAAACGCTTTTTTCAAATTTAGAAGCTCAGAGTGGTCCTTCAACTGTCGTTTATTCTACTGTTTTGCAGTATATTTTCATTCAGATTTTCCCTTCATTCAGGAATTATCTATCCTTTGGGTAATTACTATATTTTGTATTTTATCATATCTTTATGATCTTTTCTAAAAAACATGTACTTTTTCAATTTTAAAGTATTTTTGTCAAATGATTTTCAAATGATTTTTAGTTTTAGTTCTTTTCTATAAATAAAATCATAGAGAACTCTTGAAAGAAATAATTTTGCTTTGTCCAAAGCGAAATCAGCTAGGATCGCTATCGGAATTGCCATCATTAATTGACAAAAATTTGGCGAAGGAAGAAGTGTTAGTGAATTATCTTTCATTATTAATTTCGTTTAATTAGTTAAATATTATTATTCATGATAATTTTTAATTTTTTAACCAGTCGACTATTGAAATGAACATTAATAGAAGAGATAAATCTTATTCTCTTTTATATTTTTCTTTCATTTCATTGCTTTTTTTTTAGTTCTCCATTATCTTCAAAGATTATTCGAAGCACATCTACTTCTAACGTTTCGTCATTGACCAAAACCACAGCGTCAACACAGTCACAATCGTCAGCACAGTCTAAAATTATCTCATCATCAATGATCACCACCTCTGCTACTTCAAGCAAACTTTCAACCAAAAAAAGTATATTTTACTATCCTAGACTGAAATCATTTATGGTTGTCAACGCTTTGAATCCGATTTCAGATCAAATAATGCAATCCAAACAACATTCCTCCACAACGCATTCTCCGAAATCGCATGCAACATCGATCTCCGAAACTTTTATTAGCCAGAAATCTGTATTTCCATCATCTTCATCAGTGCAGGGATGTAAATCATCTTTTTCGCCACCAAAAGAAAAACAGCTGTTGATGAATTCTAGTGTTAAAAATACTGCAGATTATGATTTCGTTAATGAATCGCATTCAGTAGCGGTAAACTTTATTCTTTCTAAGACTTACATACTTTCGTTGAAAATCCCTAATTCTGTTTTATCTTTCAGCAGCATAATGCTCTTACTGGTGAACCAACAATTAAAAAGATTCGCCCGACATTAAATGAGAATTGTGCCAAATCTTCTAATTCAATTCAAAAAATAAATAAAAAACAAGTATTCGAATTTGAATTAAAAATTATTTATTATAATTTTCGCACAATTATTTTAAAGAATATGAGCGTGAAATATGTATTTTTTCTTGTAAGGTTTGCTTTTTTTTCTAACATAAAAATCTTATTCAGTTATAATCATATCGTTTCATATTGATCATATTATCTATTTTTAAGTCTGATCATCACGCACAACCTAATTTCAATCTGAAATTGCCACTTAATCGAAAAATGACGGCGCGCGAAGCTGAAGAACGTGAAAAATTGCTGGCAGAAAAAGCGATGAAGGAGGTTTTATATATTATATATTACTTTGTCAATTTTGATAAAATATAGAAAAAAAATGAAAAATTTAAACCTAAAATCTTTTTTTCTCAATCGAGTTATTTCTGGTTCACCCATCTTAACCAACTAATAGGATAAAGATTCATTCAGCATTGATAGAGACACAAATGAACTCCCAACAGCCATCTGAATTTGGCGTTTTTTGATTATAGTGTTTCATATTTATTAACTAATAAAAAACAGGGAGTACGTCTCTTGGCGTTTCAGAACTGCTTTTTACTTCAAATCAGATTCATTATTTTTTAATTAATTATCATTATTTTTATTCCCTTAGCACTACAGTCCAATAGTCTCGTTACTCTTTATGGTGCGGTTATGGCAGAAGTTTGCTATGGTGGAAGGAGATTTAAAAGGATTTAATAGGCTGGGTTTTATGGAAAATTAAAGCGGCTTAAAGAAATTTTAGATAGCGTTAATGTTGGAGTGCCAAAAAAGTACAATGAGATTTTGGTGCTTGGTGTTAGAGGATATTTGCGCGACATTTTTGAGTATTTTTACAAAATGTAACATTAACATCAAGTACCATCAGAGATTTCAGCTAGAAGAGTTAGGCTATGTTCCTATCCCTAATAGTATTAATATATAAATAAAGGTAACCAAGATAATCTTTATATTAATATTTTTAAGATTTTACTATAATTTCAATTAAAGTCAACTTTTTTTTAAGAGAACCGAGAAAGAACGTGAGCAGAAAGTAAAGGAATTACAACGACAATTTGAGGTTTGTTATTTAAAGTTTTTTCTTAGTTTTATTTGCCCCAGACAGGATCATTTCGATGGATCTTTGAGGCAATTTTAAGGAAAAAATGGAACGTGAACAAGCAGAAAATAGAAGAAGAGATGAGGAGGCTATCAGAAATTGGGAACAGATGGTTTGTATTTTGCCCTTCCTCGTTTTTCATCTCGCTCTATCTCTTTCTGCATTTTCATAGCTAATTCGTAGATAATCATTCAATCTAATGAAGTTTCAATTTCTTTACTTTATATATATATATATATATAATCTTCAATTTAATATCTTTATATTAATATTTTTATTAATGTTTAAAAAGGATACAAAATTATTGTTTCTTTTTTTCTTTTGATGGAGTATTATTTACCTGTAAGCTTTTCTTTTCGCTGATTGTTCAAGAAGTCCAAAAAAATGTTTGAATGAAGAAAAAAATTTGTAGAAAAATAAGGCAATTTCTTCTTCATTTAACAATTTAAGCGGCATATGCATGCAAAAGCTTAAAAGAAATTGTGGAAAATGCACCATATTTTTCGATTTATCGTTTTTTTTTCAGGAAGCCGAGCGATTGAGAGTAGAAGCTAACGAGGAAGAATGCCAAAGACAGGAAATCGAAATGATTGAAAAAAAACGCCGAGAAAGAGAAGTATTTTAATATTTTTTCAGTTTTGCTAACATTAGATTATTCATACAATTTTGCTTAAATAATTTTCTTACAATTTTAGGAAGGAAAAGAAAGAGAGCGTTTAGCGAAGGAAAGAGTTGAACAGCTTGAAAAAGAACGAGAAGAAATTCGTTCAGAAGAGGAAAAAATTATTAAGGAATGGCACGAAATAAAAAAAACACAACACTGTCATGAAGAGGTTGGAACTTAGTTAGAATTTTTCAAAACCCAGCGATTCTGAATATATTGAAATTATCTTAAAGAAAGGAATGAATGAAAAGATGGTTATTTAAGATATCAAATACATAAAAGATAATTTTTTATTACTAGTAATACACAATCGTTCATTTCAGTCTGCTGTGGATCCCCTTCAAAAAATTGAAGATGAAATTTTGGGTGATCTTTCACCCTTCCCTTTTCATAACGAATCAACAATCGGATCTTTTAATGAGCAAAAGGTTAGCCTAATTTTTATAGGAATATTAATTTTTTGCGCAGCTGTAAATGGTTAATTGGTTATTGCTGTGGTCTTTAAATTGTTTTAAGATAGGTCGATATGAATTAGTATATTAAGGTTTTTCAGCTAGAAATTCAATCCTCCAAAAGCATGAAATTGATCGAAGCTGGAACAAAACTTTTTGCCTCATAATTTTTTTATTATATTATCATTGAGTGTATTTTAGATTCTTCCATCATCATACCATGAGCAACAAAATTTCGAAAATTTTTTCATCATATCATCTTCTGATAATTCAGTTACTCAGGTATTATAGTTCACTTAAAATTTCCAGTGGAATATTAAAATTTCCAGTGAAAAATCTTATCTAAATTTAGATCTATTGAATTTTCGCTATTTTTGTTGAAGTTTTCTTGATTATTATCTTCTAAGCAGTTTTATTATCATTTTATTATTTTTATTATTTTATATCAATTTGTTATTTTATATCAATTTATTATTTTATATCAATTATAAAAATAATATTATTTATTTTATTATTATTTATATTATTTTATATATCATTATTATTATTTTATATCAATTATTATTATTTTATATCAATTTTATTATCTAATGTTTTCTTATGCTAATCGTCTTTTATTTATTTTGAAAAAAATGAAAATTTTTGTAGGCTATTTTTTTATCACAAAATAAATTTATTATCAATTGTTTTTAATTATTTTGTTATTTTCATTTATATTATTTCATTGTTTTTGTATTTAGCGTTCGTTCGAGCATATTTTCTTTCTTCGTTCCTTATTGCAAGTTATGCAAGTTTTTAGAGACTTTTATCAAAATCGAATCTTTTATAGGTGGTTTCATCCATGCAGTCAGTAAATTCTCCTGCATTAGCTTCGTCCTCATTTTTAACTGCCTCACCTGCTCAATCCTCAAGTTCGCCGATGTCAGCGGTGTCTTTATCACCTGTAATGCATAAATCTGTTGCATCCCCAGCACAACAAAATTCACCTTCTTCATCAGTGAACCAGTCAAAGTAATTTTTAATCTTTTTCATCTTGAATTTTTTCATTTTCGCGTCATAATTTTTTAAGAATTTGAGTTTATGTTTTTTTTGTCTGCTTAGATGTTAAAATAAACCCACGTCACATGCTTGTTACAACATGGGTTCATTAAATCACTTGTTAGAATTATCTTTTAAGATCTTAAAAAAGTTTTTCGTTTAATAAAATTTTCAGTAAAAAATTTTTTAGCAGGTATGCGGGTGAAACGTGTTTTCATCAATATACTCCTCCTTCTCCTCAACTCATATCAAATATTCAGCGTAATTCTCATGTTATACAACAGTCTAATTCTCATCCAATCACTCAATCTACCACGCAGCACTGGAATGAATTAAACTTGTCACAAAATTCATCAAAATCTTCAGTAGCACCTCAAAGTTTGCAAAAATGCGGTGATTTTTTTTCAAATTATGGCTGTTTTCTTCATTATTGAGTTAATATTCATGTTTCTTATTTTATAAGAAAATATTTTTAGGTGTGTGGAATCGACCATCAACATCAGTCACCGGTGCCAATACAAATATAAGATACAGTAGTCAACAGAGTGGGATTGGACAACAAATTCATTCACCTCAATTTATGACACGGTTTTCATCTTCAAACGTGGCTCAACATGGTACACATCAACTACAGCAATACAATTCACCGGAACTTAGGCAACATATTTCATTTCAACATCAATCCAACTCAAACCGCGCTCACAGCGATTCCTATTTGCAACATCGTACGTCTGCATTTGCACCAGCAATACACGGTAATTCGCAGCAAGGAGGAATGGGCATCTCACAACCACAACAAAATCAGCAAAATCGGATTCATGGAAATCAGCAGCGCTTTAATCCATATCCACATGATCCACGTTCTCATGGAAATATGGGATGGAGATGAAATGTATTGCTTGTTATTCTTCTTGTCGATGAACAAAATTATAGTCAGTTTTCGACGGGGAAATTTTTAATGTGAATAAGGAAAAAATTAATGAAAAGATAAATCAAAAATGTGGAGCGACAACTCAAAAATAGAATTATTCACTGGGAACATTGAGTTATAAATTATAATTAAACGATTTCTGTGGGGAAATTAGAATAAATTTATAAAATTTGAAGCTATTTTTGATTATTAACTGCCAATAGCAACAATTTTAGATCATAAATTTATTCGTTCAGTTTTTTTATTCATAAAAATTGATTTTTGTGGTTCTAAAAAATGAATCAACTGCTGCTATAAAATTTGGTTAGTTTTTCGATTACACTAATAGCAGAATCATTTCTTATTGTATTAAATAAATTATGATGGATGGCTTTATTTATCGTTGTGTTACTTATTATATTCATCGAATGTATATTTAGTTCTAAAAGTATGAAAAGTAAGTATTTGCAACGGTTTTAGCAATAGAAAGGTGCTCATAAAAATAGCTTCTCAACAGATTCTTCTCTCTACCTCCTTTCTTGGTTAAAAATTTTTTCGCTCGTCGCTGGATTTCTTTCATGATGTCAAATATTTTTCCTTATCCAAATTTCATGTTTAATCGAATGATTAATTGGATAATTCATGATCGAGCATGGGAATGCGGGAAGATTATTTTGCTAGTTTTACCAAAAATTAGAAAGGATTTGTTGTATTTTTATTGTTCAAAAATTTGATTTTTATTTATATTATTTTTTTATTGTAAATATTATTGGATCCTCGTGAAAAAAAAATTTTTTTTCTTTTCACCTTTTTACGTTTGATTGTAAAATTATTTTGGTGTTTAAGGTGAATCTATATTGTGAAAAAACTTGCCAAAAAATTTTTATTGAATATTTCATTTTTTTTTTTTATTTCTTTGGTTCGAATAATAAATTTTTAGTGAAATAAAAGATTATTGAAGAATATTTTGATATAATTAAATTCATTTATGGCATTTGGCGATAAAAATATATAAATTTCTAAAATATAAATTAAAAAATATATATATATAAATAAATGAAAATATAAATTTCCGAATAAAATAATATAATGAGGAGAAATTTTTCCTTTGAAAGCATTTATTCTAATGTTGAATTCCGCTAATTCCAAGTTGGCTTTTCGATTCGGACGAACTTTGCCAGCGAGTCATTTAGCGATAGCAATACGGTTTGGGTTTGAATTCGACCGATCCTAACCCGACTGTGATTGTGATATGAACCAGAAATTAGCACTGGTGATAGAGACAATAATACCAAGTGATGGGATTGGATAAAAAACTAGAGAAATGCGAGAGGCTGAAGGACTAGAGATGTGGAAAGCGAAGGCCAAAATAATCATAGAGCTTAGAACTGAGACTCCTAAACTAGAAAAGTTATTTCAGCAGATTCCAGGAACAATATCAGAGATCTTTGATCAGAAGACCTTAGGAATAGTTAAGCACTGCGTAAAACCCTCAATCTCCCAGGTCTTTGGTAAAGGTTGAGGAGGTTGAGGATAGCAGTTACCACCCACAGAACGTGAAAGAAGAATTATTTTTAATGTCTAAAAATATCGAGGTTTCGGTTTGAACTATTTCAGCAATGAGTCTTATCAGAAAAGGAATATTATTTACTATATATTCATATTATATATACATATATATTTTTCGAGAGTCCTCGCCATTACTGGTTAAACTCGCTCCCCTGGCTTGTCGCAATTGAGCAATATGCCAGGCAGTGCCTTAGCGATTGAAATACAGGTGATTCGCCGGCATCACCCGGATTTTCATACGGTTTATTCCAGCGGAATCGAACCTCAGCATCGGCGCTCCAAACTGAGCAACAACCCACTGAGCAATTTTTTCATATTATATATTATTATGGATCAAATACTATTATTTATTAAAATTTATCTAAATTATTATTTATTATATATGCTATAAAAAATTTATTATATATAGCTTTGCTATAAAAAAATTTTCTGTATTTTCTTCCTCAAACAATGATAATAAACGATAATAATAGGAGTAATGATAAATAATAATAATAATTACAATAAAATAATAATTGTAATAAAATAATAATTATAATAATATTTAATAATAATATTTATAATATAATAATAAATAATATTTTATTATAATAATTATAATAAAGTAATAATCGAATACCAATCGTTGCCAATCGCATATAAAAAAGAAGGAATATAAAAAATGAAATAAAATGAAATGAAATAAGCGATGACGATTCATTACGGTAAAGATTTGTATGCAATTTATCATGAAAAAAAAAATTACAATCCATTTTCGTGTAATTAAAAAGTGAGAAAAAAAAAATGAAAAATTTATAGAAAAAAGAAATTTTAATAAAAAAAAAAATTTATTAGAAAAAAAATTTATTTTAAATTTATTTAAAAATTTAAAAAAAAATGTCATATAAATTAATTTAAAATGTGACATATTAGAACGACGAAGAACGGCGATTTAATTATCGTTCATCATTTAGGTTCGTTCGTTAAATTTTTTTTAGTTCGAAAAAATCTTTCGCCTTTCTTCCTTCTTCATTTTATTTCCTTCCTTTCTTCATTTATGTGTGCGTACTGATTTGATTTGATTTGCTTAAATTTCATTAATTTTATTAATTAAAATTTTAAATCAAATGATCGAACAAATCACTTCAATTTTTTTAAATTTTATTCGACGATTTCAAAAAATTCTACAAAACCAATGGGATATTTTATCCGATCGATCAGGTAAATAGAAATTCTATAAAGAATTTTATCAATGCAAATATTTATCTTAGTTAATCGATCAGAGTTTAAGATAATTTATAAAATAAATGATTGATAATAATTTATTTATTGAAAACCAACTAAACGCCACATGCTTATATTAATAATGCAAACAAACAATTAAAATAATAAATAATAAGAATGATAATTAATGATAAAGAAATAGAAGATAAAAAAACTAATTAATGATAATTACTGATAAAAAAATAAAATATAAAAAAATATCAACAATTTAAAGAGGAAATTATAATTACAAATATAATATAATATAGTACAATTCGAAATAACTATAATCGGATGGTAAAAGTCGAGAGTAATTTATAATAATTGAGTATTGAATAATTTTATCGTATTCAATTATTTTTAAAGAATTATTATTGCTATTTATCTATTATTTATCTATTTTTATTCGAATAAATAAAATATGAATTTCTATAGATTTCATTTTTTTTTTTTTTTTTAGAAATGATTTATTTTATAATTATTGTTTATTGCTTTATTATCGTTATCATTATTGTTTTATTTTTTTTATTATCATTATTATTCTTATCATTATTATTATTACTATTATTATTATTCTTATTATTATTATTCTTATTATTATTATTGTTGTTATTATTATTGTTATTATTATTATTAATATTATTATTATTAATTATTATTATTATTATGCATTGATTTATTCAACAATTATTAGAACTTATTTGTATAACTTAGAGATCGCTTTCAATTGGCCAGTCAATTGTCCACTCGAAGTAATGGAATTGGTTGGCCGAGAACGATTCAATGCGAATAATCCTAAATATATGATGCCATTTTTTTGGATGTCAGAACCGGTTCCAGCAACAAGATCTTGGTATATGATAATATTTTTAATAATAAAATATTGATAATAATTGTCTCGTCTCTTAATATTCGCCATAACTCGCCCATTCTCTATTTCATTATTAGTTTTAGTATTAAGTTTTAGTTTTAGTTTTACTTTTCTTTTTTTTTTTTATTTTTTTGAAGGGGAATAATTGTTTGCGCTATTGAATGGATGTTCGGTCTTATATGTTTATTATTTAACATATTACACTTCGGCATATATTTACCAAAATACAAAGGTAATGGAATACCGGGAACAGTATTTTTTGTAACGCTTATTCAATTCAGTATTTTTTATGCTAATAAAGTTAGTTGATAAATTTTTCAAAAATTCCATTTAATTTCCAAAAATACAACAATATGCTAATTCCGCAAAGGGCTAGGACGGCTCAGCGGATCGTCGCTTTGATTTCGAACTAGCGACGCTGGAGTTCTATCGTCTCAACAGTAAAGACTTACCTTTCAAAGGACCTGGTGACGCTGGCGACACTTGCCTTTCAAAGGACCTGGTGACGCTGGCGACTCGCTTGTAATCATTGCCAACTGATTTATTATGTTATGCAAGTCAATAGGGCCAATCTAACTACTAAATTAAAATAATTAAAAGATATTCCTGATTTATTATGTTATGCAAGTCAATAGGGCCAATCTAACTACTAAATTAAAAAATTTTTGTATTAAAATAAATAATTAAAAGATATTCCTTCCTCATCCGTCTGGGTGATAGGTGTTTTTCTCCGGCTTCCACCACAGTATACGAGAGACTGAGAGAAATAAAACGGATCAAGGACTTCTTTCGAAAAGCACGTCTGGATTCGATCCCAGCTTTGCACCAAAGATCGGTGCTCACTGAATCACCATTGCCACGTGATATTTTAGCCCCGCAATGAACTACCATAGTTCCAATAAGTTTTATTTACTTACTTATTTTTTATTTTACTTATTCTTACTTATGATTTACTTACTTTTCATTATTTTTTTAAATCCAATTTAGCCATATCGTAATTGCAGGTTTTATTTATTATTGCGCTAATCGAAAAACGGGTTCGCTTACTTAAGCAACAGTTAATATTCCAGTATGCAACTAGTGTTATACTACTTATCAATGTATCATTTACGGTGGCGGCAGATGCTGGTGGCTATGATGAACAAAATTTATATGCGTCTAAAAATCCAATTCTTATACGATTCGTCGCTTTTCTCTCATTTATTTTCATTTTTGTTCAACTTTTCCTTCGTTGGATGACTGTCTCTGTTTATAGTTTCCTGCGTGACACTCGACGATTCATGTAATTTTTAACTTATCCGAGTATCTTAGTTTGGCTTTTCACGCAAGAGTCACTTAAAATTAGCTAGCACTCATACTTTTATCCTCCTATCATCCTCTTATCCTATTCTACTTGACAAGCACCAATGCAGCAGGCCTATAATTTTTAATGCCGCAGGCATCCATCTATATATATATATATATATATATCTGTGCAATTCATGATCATGCAATACATGTTTTGTTTCTAGATGATTTTTTATAGACAAGCTGTGGAAAATTCAATGCTAAGATATCGTAAGCGAGTATTTTTCACATATTGTTCTATAGTTTTTGAGAATACGCAAAATATGAAAAAACCGGTAAGTTTTATATTTTGCTTTTTTTTTTGAATTTTATTACCAAAATGTTATTTATTATAATTATAATTATAATTAATTATTATAATTATTATATATATTTATTTATTATTAATATTTTTATTTATTTCAAAATGAAACAATATGCAAATCGCCCATTTCATTTTCAATTAAACACCACACCGAATAATTCTTAAAAAACGAATATTTTTATTAGAGATTCTTCTCAACTTGTGAACTTGTGAACTTTTTTTCTTCATTTTCATCCTATAAGAAAAAGAAAATAAAATGGAGAATGAATAAAAAGTCTATAAGCAAGCGGAGAACGCCCAAAGGCATATAAACAATCGCTCGAATTGAATAGGAAGGAGGACGGAAATTCCACTTCGTTACATCCCGAAAATTGTAAATAAAAAAGTTGGTCTATGATTATAGCAGTTTGTGTCCTACTTAGTGTGTGTCCAGAAAAAAAAAGCCTAAAAACGATATCTGAAAGATGATTGAACAATCTCGTATAATCACCGAGTATATTGTAATCCATTGTCACCATCCTGAATCGAACGTTGCCAGGCTAATTTCAATATATCCAATCGCAATTCCTCAATTCTTCTCATTATGTCGCACACCACTTTTGCAGTGTTTGCAGCCACGAATTGTAAAATTACATAGTTTAACATGAAATATATGATAGATGACAAATGATTTCTTCTTTTTCACATATTGTTCTATAGTTTTTGATAGATGACAAATGATAAGCTTTATCAGTGGAGTATATCACAAGGATCGAGAGTGGATATGATAGGAATGTGAGTAGAGGAATTCATCTTTGTTCTCTGAAATAATTACTTATAGACTTTTATCGAAGGAGAGATCTTTAATCAAATTACTAGGTTATTAGTCTTAGCAAAAAAATTCATAATAATGAGCCTTTCCGCTAAAATCTAACTGTAATAATATCAGAAATTTTAGAAATCGCTTCGTGAAATTGTTGATAATCAGCAAAACGCTGTTTATAATCAATTAATGATGAATCGAACACCAACATATCCCATATTAAATTCACCTATGGTTTGTTGCTTTTCGTTAAAACGTACCATCTTATCATTCTTATCATTTCTTATCTCCAATCCTCTAATATCCCTTCAGCTTCCTTCTTCCTATTACTTGGTATTAATTCTTATGTAGCATGTAGCGTAAGTTGACCAATACTTGCTTGTCTATTTGAATAAGAAAGTTCTTCCACTTTCTGCAAAATCCCCCACTTGCTCTTAGGTGGATCTAAGCTATGCTTTGGGTGGCTTTTCCTATATACGATGCCAACTACTTGATTACGCCTTTCAATGCATTTGCATTGTTACTTCTTGCATTATACATTCTATGCGTTGAACAATTTCTGAGGTTTTTATAAAGTAATAATAATTGATAAATCTATTTTCCTTTGTGTAAATATTAAAAATTTAGAAATTTAAATTTAAATTTGCACAAAAATTTAAATTTTTTAAAAATTAAAATTTTAGAATTAAAACCATCAAAACATTTCTGACTAATCAAGCGAATAAATTTAATTTAAATCTAATTTTTTTAATTTTTGAAATATTTTTTTCAATTAAACGTTACACCATAGTGATTTTAATTTTTTTGATTCATTTTATTGTTTACAAATATAAAAAATTTTTTTAAATTAGACCGGTTTCTCCAAATTTTTTTTTCCCTTCTTTTCTAAGATATATGCAAAAAAATAAAAAATAAGTAAATAAGAATTTTTTATATATTTTTATATTTTTTTTTATATTTTTAAAATAAATAAATTTTTTTTAGATGCAATCAGATTTTTCCACAAATCAATCAAATGGAATTATCGGACAATCTAATTCGTATAATATAATTTTTTTTATTTAAGAAAAATTTTATTTAAGAATCAATAAGTAGTGTTTCCCGCTAGTGCGCTACCACGGCCACCATTAATCATTAGATCCACAAAACTCACAAAATCAACTGCAAAACTCCAAGGCTACCCGCATAATTCACTTTTCACTACCATTTTTAAGTTTACTTTTATCAGTGCAATGCTTGAAGCCAAATTGGCTCGCCCTTAGCCAAATCGATTCATCTAAAATAAATAATTTCTAATAAAAATATTTCTTCAGATGATTAATGATTAAAGAAACTAGTTCCATATACTTTGCAATACTAATAAAACGAAATCTAAAAAGAAAAAAAAAAAAAAACTCGGAAAAACTTTAATGCACTTTCCCACATTTTAATTACGATACAAAATTATTACAGTGTGACAGCACGAAGAAAGCGTTCGCGAAGATATCCGAAAAGAAATGCGATTTTAAAACCAGCCGCAAGACGATATCAACATAAGATCTCAATCCCAAACAGCGAACGGCCTACGCAATCAGCTGAAAATGTCGCAATCGAGACGAAAAGTTTAATGGAGAACCTCGATCCTTAATATAAATTCGACTCTCGTATTGTAGATGCTTCATATACAATTTGCTGTTGGCTTAAATGTAGCGCCTGAAATCGGTGGTTCGGAAACAATGGAATCACAGCCACAGCCATGAAATTTAACTGGTATTCCCCATTTCTCGAAATCCACACATTTTATCTTACTTTTTTTCATTAATATAGAATGAGCTTATGCTTAAAGCGCAGAACTATACAATAAGCTTGCAACTTGCAATATTAACCTCTCTTCTTTTTTTCCATTTTTCATTACAATAGGAGCTTCCTTATTTGTCAATAATTAAAAAACTGAAAAACCTTTAGAAACGAACCTCAAGTTTTTGGTTGAAAACCTTACTTTTTAGTTAAAAATATCGTCATATTCCAATTGAAATTTCTAACCTTATTTTTTTTCAATAAACAACCATTATATTCATTTTACTCAGCTATCAAAAAATTCCATTTATAAAATAATATTCATTTTAAAGAATATCAGAGAAACAATCGAAAAAAAAACGAAACAAATAAAAATTCAGCAAAATATGACTTCGCGAAGAAAAAATACCAACATCTAATGAAATAATTAATGAAATACATAAATATTTTGGAAATTATGGACAAAAAACAACTTACTAAAAAGATGCAAAGCCAAAAATTTCAACGAAATTTTTAAACTGATCTTTGCTAAACAGAGATCAGTTCCATCGCAGTAAAATAATCTAGTGGATCCCTTTAATAATTCGAAATTTATTCATCTGTTCAAAATTGCACATATTAACAAGTAAAATCGTATAACTAAATGACGAAGGAGATAGCTAACCTTCAATGAAAAGAAGCAAATCCTTTCTTTCCTTCTTTTTCAATAAATTCAATACAATATATAAAGATTGTTCCAAGCTCAATTACTGGATTGTCCAAAAATTTCGTCTAGACTTTGGAAAACAATCAAAAAACGACATACGTGCACACAAACCTTTATTCAATATTATATTCACCATTTTTCTAACAAAATTTAGCTCTCTTTAATTTAAATTGAAGAATGGATTTTCCCAGAATTTCTCAGATCCTTGAGATCAATATAAAATACGGCTCAATTAAAATAAAAGCGGGTAGCAACCATCTATTAAGAAATATCTTGGAGAAAAAAAAGCATTATTTTTTAGTTCCGGCCGACCGATCACGAAGATAGATAGATGGATGAGAAAATATTTTCATCAAGATAATAAATCAAATTACCTAAAAGAAATAAATGTCTGAAACGGAACATTGGAAGTTTATCCAAAAGACAATACCAAACACAAATTTTGCTAAAGTTTAGCAAATGAAAATTTTTTTCATCGAATTTAACATTATTTTTAAATAAAGGAACCAATTATCAACAGTTATCTTTCATAAGCAAAATCTTTACATCTGATATTTAAAATGTTTTTTCCACTTTTGGTTCTATGAATGAACTAAAATCTTGTTTTCACGCGACAAATATCATATGAATTATATTTTGAGTTAAATAATAAAATAACCACCTTTATTTTTTTGATGTTTTTGAACTTCACGTAATCATAGAACCGACGAAAATTAAACTGTCAGGCATTAAAAGAGCAGTAAACATATATCATTGACTTAGGACTTATTTCTAAGTTGATTGCTTAACCAGTCCAGACCCTCATAGAGACCATCACCAGATGTAGCGCAAGTCGCTTGTATGTACCAATTCCGATTTCGCAATGTATGTAAACCTAATTTGTCCGTCACTTCGGCAGCATTCATTGCATTCGGTAAGTCCTACAATATTTTTTACCACTAAGATGCTAATAACTGATAAACTTTGGATAAATAAATAAAATTCTGAATAAGAACATTTCTCACATCATTATGAAAGAAATAAGTATTAAAAAAATGAAAAAACTAAACTAAGCTCGATGAAAATAAGCCAACTAAATTCGAACAAACAAACCTGTTTATTAGCAAAAACAAGTAAAACAGCATCCCTCAGTTCATCTTCAGCGAGCATACGCATTAATTCTTCTCGCGCTTCTCCCACGCGTTCTCTGTCATTACTATCCACAACAAAGATTAAACCTAGTGCAAAAGATTTTATTATATCATACGGGGATGGAGAAAAAAGAAATATTCACTTATCAAACGTAGATTTTTTTTTTGATATGAAGTGACATATAATGGAATAAATAAGTCTTTATTATATTAAGCATATATTAAGATATGAAAGAGCTCAGTAACCTTGAGTATTCTGAAAATAGTGTCTCCACAATGGACGAATTTTATCTTGTCCTCCAACATCCCACACAGTAAATGAAATATTTTTGTATTCAACTGTCTCCACATTGAAACCTAAAAATTCACGTAAAAAATCAATAATAATTGAAAATACATTTGATTATGAACAAATTTATTATAGCATTTATATGTAACTTCATATTTTTTTTTATATCGTATGAACTATCTATTATCAATATCATGAACCTTAATCAATCAACAGAACTGAAACAAATAAAAACTACATAAAATTTTACATGGAGATGAAAGAAAAACAAACAACTCAACAGCGATATAAAAATTCCCAATTTCCCAATTGTTTTCAGTTGATAAAATTAATAGTGATATAAATATTATTGCCTATAGTGATATTACTATATAATGATAAAGTATTACTTATTACTTATGCTAGCAAAATCTGTTTCAGTTAATCTTTTATCATCATTAATAATAATGAATTGAAAATTACCAATCGTTGGAATTGTAGTAACGATTTCACCCAATTTAAGTTTATACAAGATAGTTGTCTTGCCTGCCGCATCCAAACCAACCATTAATATTCGCATCTCCTATAAGTAAAAATGGTTTTTAAAGAAATATTTTTTTAAAATTATATAAAGAAATTTATGAAGAATTAAAAGAATTAATTAAAATACAACAATCTCCTTCTCAAAGCTGGAAATAAAAAAGCATTGGGATATATGACTATCGTACATAAACTTCTAAAATGATGCAGATCATATCCAAAATCCAATCTACTGCACAATTGAGCATTATAGAAAAAAAACATAGTCCTGACATACGCCACTTGCATTCAAAATTATCAGTTACGCTTAAGACTTGCGCTAATGAAAAAATATCTCAATAAGTCAGGTTGTTATCATTCAGAATGTCGCTCTATCAACGAAAGCAGCAGTAAACCAATAACAAGACGAACGGTTGCTATTTACAATGATGTTTCAATACTTTTTTCAGCGTAAAAATTTGGCCACCACAGCAATGTCCTGCTTGGTTAGAGTATACTGTTGTCATTCTCATGAAATACCTATCAAATGGAGGCAAACATTTCCTATCTAAATGGTTTCTTTTCTTTATAATAATAAATAGATCTTTTGAAGAAGATGCTGAACAACAGCTGAAGAATTCATTATGAAGACCACTTTTCCAGAAAAGAACGCTAGGTCGATCATCAATAAATGGTATCACTGAAAACCAAAATCCCAATCAATGTAAACAAAACAATCTTCTTTTTGTCTCATATACCATAAAGCCATAATAAAATTTCTAAGAATTCATCAATTGAGGAGATATTAGATTTCAAATATCTCGGGATCTAATATGAATTAAATAGTACGAAAGGCTAAAATATCTGAACAGTCGCAGTTAATATCTATTTTGCAAAGACCTTGCGAATACGCATCGAAAACAATACGATTCTATTAAGTGTAATCCTATACCACATTAAAACCGTAAAAAGCAGAAGTTAATTACCAAGAAGTTATTTTCCGTCTACTTTTCGTTATTTATGGCTATAATATATTTTATTTTATGCTCTTGCTGAACTGATAAAATTCACTGCATTTACATCCATTTTTATTCATCATATCAGCTTCTGGTTGATTCATGCCCTTCATCACCCATTAAAAGAATTAATATATATTTTGCCTTGCGATGGATAGTGTCGTGTGAAAGCCCAATCAAGACCTGGATTAATACAAAAGATTTTGAAATTGTAGGCACCTAACAGATAAATGAACTGAGGCCATCGAAATGAAAAACAATTTACTGTTACTACTGAGCATAACACTGGATCGCACGATTAGGAAATGCCTTTTCTTGTAATCTGCCGAATTAGTAAAGTTAGCTGTTAATAGAAGAATATATTCTTGTAAATATTTGAAAAAAGCAAGTGAAAAATGCTACTAAAGAACTGAAATGGTTTGTGAAAACAAATATTCATAAATTCCATTTATAAATTTTATAGAGGAAAAGTCGAATAGAACAAACCTTTTTGCCAAAAAGGCCTTTGAATAAAGTAGAAAATACGTTACCCATTTGCTTGCACAAATTAACACAAACCAATTTTGTTTCTCTAAATTAATGCCTTCAATAAATTTGACCAGTATAGGTCGTAAAAACACTGAAATATAAATATTTTATAAGTATAGAGTTAAATCTGTAAAACGATAAAACGATGGATCAAACGCAATTCCAGTAATACAAATGCTTAAAAAAAATGAATATAATCAATATATGTAATATAATCAAATGAATTTCACATATAACAAATAATTCATTAAACAAATTTTTTTCCTATACATTACGTACAAAAGAAAATTTTAATAATCACCAGTTTTCCAAATTTCCAATTTGCAATTTCCAAATTTTAAAATCGTCTATGAAAAAACTAAAACACTTCATTTTATGCTCAAATGTCGCTTATAATATCGATAAATATGAAAAAAATACAAAATGAAAAACAGAATAGAGAGAAAAAAACAAAATTATGAATAAATCGAAAAATCGTCTATGAAAAAAAACACCTTAATATTTCGTGAGGATTTAAAAAAATGTAGCCTTGACAACGACCATTCTAAGTAAAACATAAAACAAATAAATAGAATAAAGTGTAATTGTGGAAAGATTTCACTAAATTATTACCTAAGAGGCCAATTTTACCGACCAAATATCTTTTAAAAGAAAGAATTAAAATTGAAACTGTATTGAGATATTTATTTTCTTCATCTTTTTACAGTGTCTTACAAATGGCCTACAAGACGGCAGAAGTCCTCTTTGCCTAATTCCATAGGCAGCTTACTATATGATATCTCCGATATATATTGCAATTCTCGACTGATTCCTCTCGCTATACGAGGCATGTAAGGATTTCTGCGACTGTGGCTAATTAACCAGCATAAACGCTACCCTTTAATTAAGCGGACAGAAACACACTCTAATTCAGCGAAGTGACATCGATTATGTAAGTTTAACGATCAAAAACAGACAGTCTTCCTATCATATATTGCAAGTTTTCATTTCACGGCGATTCTACAAAAGTTTTACAATATAAAATAACTAAAATACCAAAACATTTGGATGACAAAATCGCAATAACTAATAAATTGTATAAAGTTTCGAGAGTTATATAAATAAAATTAACGAATTGAATTTTAAAAAAGAAAATGAAAAAAGGAATATATTTCAAATATATTTTAAATATATTAAAAATATAATTCTTATAGAACGAAATTTTTTTTTAAAACGTCACTCCACTTAATTTTTAGTAAAATTCAAAATCTTTGATCTTACGAAAATAAATACCAAACGAAGAGAACAAAAATTGAAAAATACACACAACCTCAACTAAAGGCACAGCGGAAAGCGAAAATCCTGCGGTTCACATTAAACACAAAAAAATGCCATTAAGAGACGAATTTTCATAGCAATTTTTTTTCTTAACCTAAAAATCCTTATCTTTCCACAACACTCCTTTCGATCGTTTTCCGCCTATCTCTTTCTCATGATCATTCTCACGAACACTTCCTCCTCCCTGACCCCCCACCTAACCTTAATTAATACTCTAACAACCGCTCGAACACCACACCTGACCGACACCCCTCACCAAGTATCCCAAGCGCAAAACACGTCAGCGAGTATAGTTCATTTTAATATGGTAGAGAACCTGCACATCGACAACTTTTTGGCGCTTATTCAAATATCATCACTAAATGTCGTCCGCGGTTGACAATTATGCTTCATTTTTGTTTTCTGCGGCTTTTTTTTTCTTATAAATGGCATCGTTATTATTTTCGAATTTTATATAATTTAGTGGATTATCGAGTGTTATGGCGTTAATGCAACTAAATGTGCCATTTTTGTAATAATTTTTATAATTTTTATTTCCTTTTTTATAAAATTATGTCACATGTTTTGGACGAAATTCGCTTGGCTAATTCGTTGGGCCAAACAGTTTTTAGTTGAGGGGGGGGGGGGGGGGGGGGGGGGAGAGGTCGCAATTTTTTGGTGATTAAAATACAAATAGGTCGCCGTCCACTTCGGGGTTCTTCGAAAAGTAGGCCTATTTCTGCCGGCAAGAAGAGCCTCGATCATTAGCGCTTCGAAATAAGAGCAATCTGAGCCTTCCCCTTCCTCCAATCGTTTTTAATTATTAGTATTGTTATTTATTATTAATTATTAATGCTATTTTTGTTGTAGTTAATAATTGTTATAATTAACAAATAATATTTTTTAATAATTATTTGTTAATTATTAAAAAATTGTCAATTATTAATTATTAAGGCAAGCAAAATATAAATTACAATGGAAGGTGGAAAGAGAATTCGATCTCATTTTGATGAATTTGATAACGAAAAGAGTCACAGTGCAACAAAATATGTTCGTTTTAGCGATGAGGTGATAAGCGATGATAGTGGAGTTGTAAGACAATTAGACGATGATTATAAATCGAAACATACACTTGATAGCGATGAAGAAGATGAGGCGAAGTACGAGGAATTGGATGTTAATCAGGTTTACCTTATCATTTTTCATAGGTGTTATTTTGTAAAAAATTTGGCTGAAAAACATTAATGTTAAAAATTCGATGTTATCGACTTTATGGTAGATAGACTAAATGTTGTCGAATGTCCGCCATAGTATATCGTTTTCAAGTCGTTCGTATCGGCTTAAATAAGTGATCAGCAAGCTGTCATAATAAAATATCGCGAGAATACCCACATGCCATTCTCTTTGTATTCAACAAGATACGCCTTCGTGAAGCCCTTTAGTTTTATTGTTATCCCAAGAGACTTTGGAAAAATTTAATAAGTGCGTGCCTTTTAATGGCGTTTACCTTATATCATTGCTCTGGTTTTGTATTGTCAGTGCTGTTAGGTAACATTAGTTTATAAAATATTATTAAACATTATTTATTATTTATTATATATCAGTTATTTATTACTATAAACTCATTAATTCATAATGCCACGTTATTTTCCAAAGTTACCGGAATATAGGAATCTTTCACAACTTACTCTTTTGCCTTAAATAATATGAAAGCATTTTCATAATAATAGAGTTAATAACAATTTTATTATAAAATAATTGATGAGTGCAAAATATATAGGACAGATCTAATAATAATTTAGCTATGTGACGGCGGTTCACTCTGGATTCTGCCAATTTAATTAGGTAACTTTCGGCCGATTTTTATTACTTGTTTTTTTTAATGGCTAATGAGTTAAAAGAATTCGAATATCCATCACTCATTCCTTTAAATTTGAGCAAATTCATTTCGAATTCCTTTAAAAAAACTTGTTTATCTCTAGTAAAAACTCTTAATGACCAATACAGCCAGTTCATTAACGATTCGAAGCATTTTGAAGAATATTTGGCGGTAATTTTGCCAATTCTGATATATGGCAGAGAATTGAAGGTGCGGACTGGAGGATGCGATTTGCGTCCTGTTTCAAATGTCTAAAATTTATTTCATTTTGTAGAAGTGAAATTCAAGAAACAAAGTTCACAAATTTAATTTCAAATAAATAAACTTCAATTTTAATACAGCAGATTTTAGTACAAATTTTATTAGACAAAGTTCATCTTGATTGCATAAATTTGTCTCTGGCAGTACTCGGACCGGCAATCTCCTCGTTGTTATTGGTTTAGATTTATTTGACATCATTCAGCATCATATTCATTGAGCTTTAAGTATTGTTCAATCATTTATTTTATTAGTTAAGTCTGCAGCATTAGCTGATTAAAAAAAATTTGTTATAAGAATTTTGGCGATTAAGAAAAATAGGATATAGAAAGATATAGAAGAAAAATAGATTTGAGTGAATGGCTTTTGCAGGTAGAAGGACAAGAAGATTCTGGCGAAGAGGAATTCGAAGGCAACACAAAAATTATGGCTTTCAATATGAAAGATGACCTTGAAGATGGTCATTTTGATACAGATGGTACTTTCATTTTCAAAAAGGTCAGTTAATATTTATTATATACATAAATATATATTAATTAATCCCAGAGTTAAGAGTGCTAGAAACTGTCACATTTAAACTAGAAAAGTGGCTTCAGGAGATTCCAAGAAAACATCAAAGATCTCTCTCCAAAATAGTGTACTGTTAGGAACAGCTAAGATATTGAATTCTAAATCTCCCAGGCTTTTGTTAGATGATCAGAGTTGAGGTTGACCTTTACTATCTACGGTTTTTAAATATTTTAATGCATTTTTGATTAGTTTTTAGAAGGAGCGTGAAATAAAAGATGCTTGGTTAGATAATATAGATTGGAATTACGTGAAAAAAAATGCCGGTGATCGTTGGCATCGAGCCAATGTAAGTTTATGTTTTTAAAATTATTTTCTAAAATTTATAATTATAATCGAATGAAATCAATATTTGGTTTTCTCTTGTATTTAATGACTTTTTTCTTTTTGGAATATCTTTTTTTGCCATTTTTCTCACTCTTTCTCTTTTGTAAAGTTAACATGCTAAATAATTTTTCGTGATAGGAAGGTGATAATGCGTCACTGAAAGTGATGGGTGATAATGAACTGAAGTCTGTATACACTAAAATCGTGTCCTTTCTCCAACCAAATGAAAATATTGAGCGAGCCATAAAACGATTAGGAAAAGTGAAAGGTCCATTTTCACCAAGCAATTAACTCCCTTAAATTTCTAAATAAATGACCATATTCATATTTAGGCCTAAGTGCTGCTGAAGATCGGAAAAAACGATGGGCAGCAAAGAAAGCTGGCAAAGAATATATCGATGAAAGTAGTAATTCAGTTAAAGAACTGACTGGTTTAGCTGACTCTTTAGTTTCAAAAGGCGAATTTGAGGCATACCAATACTCCTTCGAAAAATTGAATTATTTGATACGTCAAATGGAACATAGGGCAGTTGATGACCTTGACATGTTTTCAGATGCTCCATCGTCATCAGTTGAAGGTGATAGTTCTTGTATATTTTAATTTTGTTAATTATAAATTCTATAAATACTTTCAGTTATTCAGTTTTTTTAATAGGTTTGCGTAATGTTGGAGATAAAAGTAATAGCGGGCGGGAAGATTCTGTAAATTCTGTTAAATGGGAGTATAAAATGTCGAATGATGGTGATGCTGAAATTATTGGACCAAAAACGAGTGCCGAAATGCTGGATTTGCAGAACGAGGGTAAATTTGTCGACGGTGGCTGGGCTCGAAAACTTGGAACTCAATCGTTTTACAGTATTGCGCGACTTGATTTTGAAATTTATATTTAAATCCACCGCAATCTTGCGTTTTTTTGAATTTTTTGCTTTATTAATTTTTTTATTTTGTTTTAATAATATTTGAAATACATCTCACCAGTATAATAGGTTGGATTTTAAAGGCATCACGCAAACCACATCAGCATTCATTCTTCTTTTCTTCCCCCATGTTTTGTGTTATTAGTTTGTTGATATCTTATAGTGTAACACCATGTAATAATATAATTATATTAATGTTTTATAATCTTTAAATTTTGTTATCATTCAAGCGTTGCTTTATAGATTTTACCAATTTCCCTTAGTTCTTGTAAATATTTTTATTTTAAATAAAGGTTTGGAATTATTTTTCGATTTCAAAATAGAGGAGTTTTTTATAACGAATATTTTTTTAAAAAATTTTCATTTTTCAGGAAAACTATTATAGATTCATATTAGAATTTCATATGAACAGTTTTATCAAAAAAATTATAAATTCCATCCATCAAGAACGATACGGAATTTGATTTTATTCGTTCAGATCTTAGACAGATGAAATTCTCGCAAACTCAGAGGCAATTTATCGCGAAAACCATCGAAATGTTCAAGTTTTCGGTGCGATGGGGATATGTTCCATTTATAATATTTCTAGGTCAGTCTTTTTTAGTAATTTTATAATTTGTGAGTTACGGAGTTTAAAAAATAGTTATAAAAATTTTTCTCGACAGTTATTTAATAAATTGTTCAAAAATTTGGTATTTGGCAACTATCTATATTTTCTAAATTACTAAAATGGTCAGATACTCTATGCGAGAAATTTAGGTATACAACATGGAGCTGACATTGTACAGCCAGGTGTAATTCCTCCTCCATTAACATATATGCAAGTTTTCTATGGTTGATTTATTTAAATAAGAAAATAAGAAATTGAATGAAAAATATGTTATATTTTTTGTTGTATTTTGAATGAAATAAATTTTTTTATATACAAAACATAAATACATTAAATAGCGCCTTTCTTAATTTTATGAGCTATTTAGTATTTTTTATTTTTAATTTTTATATTTTTTGAATATATCTAAATTAAATATAAAGAATACCTTATTATTTAGCATGTAATAAAATCCATATCAAGATAGAAAATTAGAAAAAAAACACAAATTGATTCATAAGTCTAATCATTTTCTTTCATACTGTTTATGATATTGAAGAAATTGGATTATGTGGAGGACCCATTTGTTTTAATACCTTATCCAACCACTGAAAATAGAATATAATTTTTATTTTCGATTTTCATTTTTTATTCAAGAAAAATTTATTTACGAAGATTGTATAATATGTATATAAATGAAAAATCAAAAAAAAAGTTGTAAATCGAAGAAATTGAAAAAAAAAGCCTTAATGAAATTTGTATGACTGACTTGAAGTGGAGCATGTAAACGTATTTCTATCCAACATGGCGTAGAGGTGACATCCTGGCGTTGATATTCTGAACCCCATCCTTTAACAAAAGACATTCGAATTATAGCCATTTTAGTTAGTTCGTAACTTGAATCGAATGAATGACAACGGGTCGCTTGCGATAAAAGCTATAAATTGTTATTTTGCTTAAACAAGCTTAAACCAATGCCTATTAAATATTAAATATGATGTTTTACCTCTCTGAACTTTGACATATCAAAGATTTTTAGTGAAATCCCATTCGTTATTTTACAAACTGTTGTAGGATGGAAATTATGTAAGTAATTGCAATTTCGTGATTGTATAAATATCGCAGCTTCACTTTGACATTCGGCAAAAAGTGTTCCTTGTGATGGTACATATGTGAGTTTCACCCCTACGAAACAAAAAAATAACCATTTTTTGTATTCAGCTTTTTATAGAAACAACTGATTTAATTTAACTTTTAGTTCCTTTTTATTATGACAAAAATTCCCAAATCTAACCCTACAAATAAATGAATGATAACCTTTCCCAATATGTCGCCTGGTTGTTTCAATTTGCTGATTACGATTAACATTCGACAACATTCCAAGCGAGATTTTATTCGGACTCCCCATAGGATCTGTGAATCCATCAATTTCAACCGTTGGTGATGAAACATCGTACTGTTCGCCTACTCGAGTATTTAATTCGTAATAAGTGACGGTTGCCCAATATTTGCCCTCTTCATAAGGAACCTGAACCACAAAGAATAAAAAATACAAATAAGAAAAGAGAAAAAAAGAATTACCTCAATAGTGGATATATCTGGTGGTATAGTTGGACTTGTATCCATTGGTTCATCAGGCTTACAATATGGTGCCTGAAAATAATATTCCAAAATATTTGCAATTAAATCAGCATTAGAGGAGTGAAAACCAAGTTTTAAAATAATAAATAAATTCGTCCGACTCGTAATTGAAGAAAATAACTTACAACAATAAGTTTTAAACTTTAAAAATTAGATAAACAATACAACCTAAAAAAATTAATCTGTAGAAAAATTAAAATCCATGTCAAACCAAGCCAAGCATAAATTAGGAATAAATTATAAAACAAACCGTTGCCGTCGGACTGAAATTACTAAAATCGATATTACAAGGCATAGCTGAAGTAGATAATTGCGCATTTGGTAAAAGTGCCATGCGAAGTGGCCGAGGAATAATATTCGGTGGAGGTTCAGTAGAACGAGGCACTAAAACTGGAGGTAATATGCCAGTTGTTTCGATACGATCATAATGATAAGGATTTATACAAATATCTTTTTGACCCGATTCATAACAATATCGACAATCATCAATCGCTTTCAACTCGTGATGTGACTGTAAATCGGGCCATCGATAAACGCGACAATAAATTACATGTGGAAGTGCTTTACGATGAGAAATCTGCAAATAAATTTCCATTTTTTATTATGAATTTTATTGCGAAAGTTTTATTGTATGCATAAAGTTGGTTGGTTGTTCATTCCTAAATTTCTTAATGTTTGCTTACAATAATTTCACAAATCTTTCAAATGATTCCGGTTTGTTTTGTATAATTTGTATAATTTACCAATAATTCAAATTGGACACCAAACGTATTAGCTAATAAGCATTACTTGCGAGTCCAAAGAAGTAAACGAAATCAATTCGAAATCGAAATTTTTGATTTTTGTTCAACAAATAATTTTTGCCCAATTCATGTTGTGGATTATTCTCCTCGAGCAATAAAATAGTTTCAAATTATGCATATTAAACTAACGCATTAAGCAATCATTCTTGTCTCGGCTATTTATCTTAAAAAACAATCTTCCACTCTTGTTTTATTCGATTCGAACTAAGTCATAAATGATATAGGTAATTCGAGAATAAATCAGCGACTTCAGTATAATGAAATGATACTTTAAAGTTTAAAATTCTTCAATGCTTTATATTGTAGGAGAAATTCAAAAAATACTTGTAATCGCCCATCAAGCGAACGAGGAATTGTAACACAATCAGATCGTTGTTTGCCTTCAGATTGTAGTGCCATCTCAAGATTCGCCAAAGCTTCTTTGTTATGCTTTTGAAGTTTCTTCATCAAACTATCGATAGCTTTCTTGGACCATCCTTCTTCTTCATCACCTAAAAATTTAAATATACTTGGATATTATTAATATGTTGTAAAATATTCTATATTCTTCATCAACAATTTCTAAACAACACTTCTCGTTTGGTTGGTTGATTCCATTAACTTCTAACGTCAGATCTTCTTATCACACAAGCACTTATAGAAGATAAAAGATTCCCATGATTCAACCTTCAAGAAAACAACTTTTATCAAGCAAGGAGCAAAATTTCGATTTGATTGTCACCATAAGTGAACTAAAATTATGAAATCTCTCGCGAGTGATCATAACTTTCACATAGTTCTTTAATCCCATTGGCTTGACCGATTTAAATACTTATCACTTTTTTATCAATACCTTATCATTTTTTGCCAAATGAATCGCTATAAAATAAAAACAAATTTGAAGAAAAAACTAATAAACCTTGTTTCCATCCAAGTCGTTTCGCGACAGCGGTTCCATGCTGACCAAGAAGATTCTCAAATTTCATTTCAACGGATGCATGAAGTTGATCTATGAACAAATATGAACAAATATCTACAAATATATGCATTTATAAGTAACTAGTTAGCCAACTAGTTAGACCAGTGGTCGCCAAAATTTTTTCACCATGAACTCGCAGATAATGCATCTATCTATCCCTCCCTCACAGATCCCAAAAGTAATGCATCCCACTCCCCGTAAAATCATCATGTTTTAAGATTTTTTAAATTCTTTCACCAGAGTTTCTGAATGAACATAATAAAATGCATAGAATGATGATCATTAAAAATGATTTTTTACCGCTAAAATAATTCGAATTGTCCAGAAGAATCTTCTGAGAGTCGCCAAGCAACCACGCCAGAGTGGGTCCGTAGGGGCCATTTTAATGACGATCAATGAGTTCAATGTTATTCGATTTACAAGTTTTTAGACATCTTATCAGCAAATCGCCAACAGAAGAGAAAATAATCTCTGTAATCCATAAGATTAAGGCCAATAAAACTCCAGAAGAAGATGGTTATCGAGTCGAACTCTTTAAGTGTTATCAGTCGTCCTTCATAATATACCCTCAACAAATGCATCCTCTGGTATGGCAAAAGGAAATAATACCAGAAGACTGTAGCAATTCCGCTTCCAATTCCTAAGAAAGATAGGAGACTGCGACAATTAGGGAGGAATCAGCCTACTAGACATCTCCGAAAAAATTTTCGCTTTCCTTCTGCTAAATAGACTTATGGCAACAAGAGGTAGAACGTGTCCTAACCAAATTGGATTCAGACCGGGACGCAGTTATACTGACCAGATATTTACCCTAAGAAAGAAGCTGAAACATCGCACTTCAAACAACAGCAACGTCACTTGCTTTATCGATTTGCAACGGCCTCCGAGTCGATGGATAGAGCAATGTTCTGGAGACTGATGGAATGTGACGGTGTCCCAGAGATCATTCGGCTCTTCATAAAGGTACTTCATTAGCATATCGTGGCACAAGTCTGTGTATATCGGCAACTGTTCTCCTTTGAAATAAAAACTGGTGTCCCTCAGGATTGTGTCCTTTCCCCCACAATATTCAACTATGCGATAGACTGGATAATGGGCATTGCTTGTCAGCACTCAAGAGGTGTGCAAATCAGTCCAGAGCATAGCATCACAGACCTGGAATACGCTGATGATATAGTCCTTTTTGCTGAGCTATAATGAAATGCAAATAATGTTAAACAATGTGTTAACAACTGTAGAGAGAATTGGACTCAAAATCAACGAAAAAAAAATGAAAGTGTTTTCGTCTTATATACAAGATGCTGATAAATTACCTATTTTTATCAATTCATTGCCAGTTGAGGAAGTGCCCGACTTTAAATATCTTAGATCCACTCTAAACCTAAATGGCCAAAGGATAAAATTGTAATCCGGATAATAACAGCTACAAATGTGTTTTTTTAGTTGATAAAACCTTTATGGAATCGTCATAAAATCACCATAAAAGACGAAAATCCGCGTCCATATAGCGGCAGTTCGCTCGATCTTGCTATATGGCTGCGAAACATGGCCAATGAGAGTGGAAGATATTAAGAAACTATCAGCCTTTCACTACTCATGTCTATTATATTTTACGGATCCATCGAGCAGATAAAATCGCACATGACTGTATCCATCATCGCTCAAATACCACCTGTATTATCACCTGTATTATTAATAATATCACAGAAAATCGCCTTCGCTGGTTAGGGAACGTCCATCATAGGAGTTGATGCATATTTCGCTATTTGCTTAACCCTATAATCGTTGGCGTTGCAGCGAGCAACTTAGAGATGTCTCGCCCTTGCCTTGCCAGCGGAGCCAACACAACCAGTAATGGTGAGAGCTTTTGGAAGATGAACGCATCTTATCGACTCTTCGTTTTATTTATTCGTTTCTCGTTACCATTGAATTTCACGGAATTAACCTTTTTTAAATGATCAACTTCTAAGATTTTATTATTAATAAAATTAAGATTTTATTAGACTTTTTTGTTTTTAGGATGGATGAATCCGAAAAGCTCCCTAATTTTCACAGTGGATCATTAGAAACCCTTAGGAACCCTTAGGGTCGCGGGGTCAACTTTCGGGGTCAGCGTGAGGCCAAACTTTTACAAATAAAGCAGCTAGTTTTATCGATATTATATGGTTCAAAATGACTCCATCTGAATCTGAATTGGACAAAGTTACCACGTTCACTTGGAAAAAAACACTCAAAAAAAAAAAAAATCAAGTCAAAATATTTTTGCAAAAGATTACGACAAATCTCACCTGTCGTACAATTTTGTAAACATCGGCTAAATCGCGGCCTCTCTCTTTTTTTTTTGCTTTTCTTTATTGTTCAACATTCAATCGATAGATTTTTCGTTAGCGTTTGTTTATTCAGCTTTATTTGAAAAGTGTAAATAATAATTGATGAAAATCGAGTTTGCACATTCGTTTTTGCAAGTGTGAAAATCTTTCTTTCGGCTTATTTAGTAATTTTATTAATATTATTAATATTAATAATATTAATATATTTAATAATTTTAATATTAATAATATTAATATTAATTAATATTATTAATATTATTTTATTATTATAAATAATATAAATATTATAAATAATATTATTATTGTTAATATTATAATTATTAATACTATTAATATTATTAATATTATTATTAATAATATTATTTTATTATATGTAATTATTTTTATTAATATTACAATAATTAATGCTATTAATATTATTAATATTGATGTTAGTAATATTATTTTATCATTATTATTATATATAATTATTTCTATTAATATTAATGCTATTAGTATTATTAATTCTTTTAGTATTATTATCACTAATATTATTATTATTAATATCATTATTACTATATTATTATTGTTATATAATTAATATTATAATTGTTATATATAATTATTATTGTTAATATTATTATTATAAATTATTATTGTTGTTGCTTTTACTATTAATATATCTTTATTGATCATTATTATTACTATTATTTATTAATTCTATTATTAGTAGTATTTGTTATTAATTATTCATTATTGTTCTTTATTAGTACCTTTTATTTATTATTATTGTTATGTTTATTTATTAATTTATTGTTATGTGCTTTATTGTTAATATTGTTATGTTGTTATTATTGTATGATTATTATTGTAATTATTGGTCGCATCCATCTTTGTTCAAATACCACTTGCATTAACGGTACCATTGCAGAACGTCGCTCGTTAGGGTACGTTCTTCCACCGCAAGAGTTGACACATATTTCGTTACTTGCTAAGTGATGGATGGCGTTTAAAGCGAGGTGGGCTAATGAACTGACAAGATCAGGAAAAAAATTTAGGTGGGCCAGCAATATATGGACTTAGACGATGGAAAAATGAGTGGTTTCTATTATATTTGACGATGGCATCAGATCGCGCAACTTGAGGACGTCTTACCGTTGTGGAGCCAACTTAATCAGTAATGTCGAGAGCTGTTAGAAAAAGAAAAATTATTTTAATTTTAGAATTTTGTTATTATTTTGTTATTCTTAAATATGACATTTCAATGGTCCAAAATTATATGCTGCGAATTCAAAAATTCATTTTTATTTTTAAAATTTAAATTTATAAAAAAATTTTTTTTTTATAAATTTATAAAACTTCGCATTTTTATCGATTATAAATTTTTGCGACTTAACGTTTTGCGTTATTTTTAAAAAATTATTTTATTAATTATTATTATAAAAATTATTTTAAAATTATTTTTAATAATTAATTAAGATTATTTTTTTAGCTAATAAATTGTTATACATTAGTAATATAATTAGCGACTTAGTTATTAAACTTATACTTAATAAGCGTCAATTGATTGCTTAGCAAAATTTTGTTTGACCCAATGAGACAGCGTTGCGAGTTTTGCCAGAAATGTTATACATGTCTTACAAAAAAAATTTCAGTATAATTGGTAAAAGAATTTTAGCATAAAAGAAAGGAGCGGTGCAGAAAATGGCGTCAGAAATGAAAAATTTGGAAGAAAAAAAGCTTCCAGAAAATTCGCATATTAAACGAGATGTCGATAATAATAATTCATCATTAATTTTTCGATTTTCAATTATTATTTCGGTGATTGTTATGTGGACAAGTTATACGATTATGGTTCGCTATGCAAAACAAAATTCACAAGAGGTTTTTCTTTTATTTTCTTAAAAATTATGGTACTTGTTAAGTCCATATAGGCTAAACATTGCTCATTTATACCGTAAGCTTTGTTGGTTTAGTTAAAATATTGATAAGGTATAAAAGAAATTATCACTTATCACTATTTTCACTTCATTTTACTCATCCACAAATAAGAAATCGGAAATGCTTGAATTGTGATATTTTTTTTCAGTAATTAATCGAATTTTAAATAACAAATAAATTTATACCCAGTAAAATTATTTGCTGTTAGCAGTAAATATCAAACTGTCTTGTTTTCCCCTCTATATGCTCAATGCAGTTTTTCAAAGAAATTTTTTAATCGAATCGAAAACCAGTTTTATGGTTCGCTATTAAAGTTAGAACAATAGGCATCGGCAGCTTTATTTGAAACAGCTATGCGAAGTAAATCTTCAAAATCAATTTTGAAGTAATTCTTAGGAATATTATACGACGACTGTTGTTTTCCTTTCTGAAACTTTCAAATGCTTCATTTCACTAATCTTTTTATACAATGGTTGTAACTGCCGATTGAAAGCCTTCAAAAAGGTAAATCATTTCATTATTGCTATTTTTTGTTAATACTACATTAAAGAACAAATAAGAACAAATAAGTTAGACTAGCGGGTTTTAAAATATATTTAATATTTTTAATATATTTTTAATATATATTAAAATATATATATTTAAAAATATATAAATATATTTAAAAATATATTTTTATATATTTATATTAATAAAATATATTTTTAATATTTTGATATATATGTCTTTATAAAATTAATGTTTAGCGAAAAAGCTATTTTCGACATTAAATGAAATCCATCCGATTCGTTCTTATAATTTTAAACTTTTTATCCTATATAACTGATAAGGAACGGAAAATGTTGCAGTTATTTTTATTTACTCCTTACGAAAAATTTTAGGTAATCATGGAGAATTATTTCGACAAACCAATAGAAGTATTAAAGATGAGCGTCCCTTCGATAGTTTATACTTTCCAAAACAATCTTGAATTTGTAGCTTTATCTAATTTAAGCGCAGCTGTTTACCAGGTTTTTTTTTTTTTTAAACCGCTCTTTTTTCACGAATGTTTCTTATATTTCAGCTTCGACTGGGAACGAAAAATTTATAGATTACAATGCAGTACAATAGACTGCAATACTTCTACCAATTTTTTTCGTTTTTCTAGGTTACTGTTCAGCTGAAAATCGTTACAACTGCAATTTTCATGACGTTTTTTCTGCACCGGCGACTTTCGCATCGTAGATGGTTTGCTATCCTTCTTCTATTCATTGGTGTTGCCTCTGTACAGGTTAATTATGATTTATCGTGATTTGCTTGCATGTTTTTTTTTTTTTAAATTATCAGTTATAAATGCCATTTTAATGATCGATTCAATCATAAATCATTTTAAGGGTATAAAGAATCAAATAAAGACGAGAAATAATTTTTATTTTATTTTTATTATTTTATTTATCAATTTTTTTATTTTTTTGTAGCTCAATGCCATTAACGATGCGAAGAAAGGTGAAAATCATATAATTGGTCTTGTCGCGGTATTACTTGCTTGCGTAATGGCTGGTTTTGCTGGTAATATCCCTTAATTCTATCTTTTTAAGCTATTATGTATTTATTAGGCTGAAAATAATCTAAGATCTGCGCTTAGAAAATTTTAAAGCCTTTAGGTCTTTTTAGTCGTATTTCTCCAGAGTTAAATAATCTTTTTCTGGTTGATTGATTTTTCTTTTCTTATTTCTTTTCTGCAACTGACTCATTGATGAATTTATGGTTATATCATATTTCCCTGAATCCGATTATAAAAAGAGAATCTAGCTGATTATCTAAAATGTGGCATTTAATAGAAGGCATGATCAATGGGAGAAGACAAAAATACAAAAATATAAAAAATTCTGTTTTTCGTTTTTTTACCATCATTTACCATTTTCAGTTTTGTTGGCTCCATTGATCACTGGGATATCAGGTGTACAAGTCAGCAGTATCTTGAATTCACTTTATATGAGGTTTATAGTAGCAAATCTAACATTGACTTAAGCAAAATAACATGATAATAACGGATATTTTTTGCTATGCGCTGGCCAAAGTTTTTCATTTTTCATTTTATTTAGTAAACTATTTTATTGAAACCATAAGATGATTAACTCAGGTGTCTATTTTGAATGGATGTTAAAAAATGGAACAACTGGTCTGTGGATGCGAAATTTCCAATTATATACGTGTGGTATGGTTAGTGCTTTTCTTGGGTGTTTCATTAGTGATGGAAAAAGAATCGTTACAAACGGCTTTTTTGCTGGATACAATATCAATGTTATCGTAATAATCGCTTTATTGAGCTTTGGTAAGATCTTATTTTCGTTTAGTTCAGATTTTTTGTGATATAGGAAATTATTCATGACGAAAGGACCTCAGTAGGTAGTGAAGTCAGCCAAATTAGGTATGGTGAAAGGAAAAATTCACTTGACTCTTTGATTGATTTGATATAAATAATTTCGTAATAGTAATTTTTTTATCATTTTAAAATTGTATTTGCTTTTCCTTTGGAAGGAGCAAAACTTTCATTAAAATAGAGGTGATCGTTGAACAATTTAACAATCTGTAGTGATCTTTATGGTGAAGGGGTTATATGAAAAGGCATTCGCTTATGGGAAGCGCATTGTGCCTCTAACCTAGTGATAAATATGCAGACTGAGTTCAAAGAATATTTTGAACGATATTGAAAGCTTGGGAGGCTACAGACACTAATGGATTATATACGTATGCAGCGAGCCTTTGATCAAAGCTAAATGCAAACGCTAAATGCAAATGCTAGTACCAACACCAATACCATATACAATACCGTTTGTAGATTTTTAAGAAAATTTTAAGAATCTGTTAAATGAATGCATAATATTAAATAAATAAGGTTTTATAACACTAATCACTGAATTAAAATTTTCAGGTGGAATTTGCGTTTCGTTAATTATAAAATTTCTCGATAATATTCATAAAAGTTTTGCTTTATCGTTTACTATAATATTTGTAACAATTATCTCAGCGATCATTTTTGGTGATACAAATTTTGGTGCTTATTTCATCATCGGTTCGATTCTTGTTTGTGCTGCTATCTTCATTTATAATTCAGTTAAAGAATAATTCACTTCAGATTTGCATAATTTTATTATTTACAATAATTTTATTAATCATAATAATACTGTATACCTGTGGAAAGCATAATATTTAATAATATTTGTTTTTTATTTGTCTTTTTTTGCATAAAATTTTAGTTTTTGCCTAGTTTTTTTTGTTTAAATTTTTAGATTTCTGTAAATTTTTAAATCTTATTGATTTTTAACTTCACTTACTCATTTTTTTTAAATAATAATTTTGCTCATTTTGAAGCAAAAAAGTAATGGCTAAGTGGTAAAATAAAATAAAATGATAAAATGATAGATGATAAATGATAAAACGTAAAGTATCAAAAAAAAACTTGATCGAGCCGTAATTAGTATTTAGAAGAAGAAAATGTCAGCCATTATTTTATTGCTTAATAAAATAAATTATATGTATGTATATATAAATATATATGTATAAGTATGATTTAAAATAATTTATATGGAAAAAGATTTTTTATTTTTATTTTTCTTTAATTTCTTATAAAATTATAAGTTATTGCTCAATTGATTATTATTATTTAGAAATTTTCGAAAATTTACGAACAAAATTTTTTTATTTTGTATTTTTTCTTTTATTATTAATTATTAATTATTATTTTTTATATTTGCTATATTAATTATTTATTATTATTAAATTTTATAAATTTTTATAAATTTTCGTTTTTTTCCCTGAAATTTTTTAAAGTAATTTTTATGAAATTTATGTGAATAAAATTATTGATGGATTTTTTAAATCATATTTTACTTCAATGGAAGTTCTTTCTCGATATTAAAATTTTATTAGAGTATCATGGGTGTCTAAAAAAAGTCTTTGGGCCGCGTTTTTCTGGTGAGAATGCGGTAGCATAAGGAAAAATAACGGCTGGCAGAGGGCATGGTACGTTCATAGTTTTCCTGATTATTAGAAGCATTATAATGGCTTCGGGAATTGCTTTTGTTTTTACTATCGTTTTAACCATTGTTTTTTCATTAAAGGGGTAGGAATATAATAGAAGTAAGAAAGCTAAAGGTGAAAATATAAAAAGATAATAAATGATAAAAATGATAAAAGATAAAATAATTAAGGGGGATAAGAAGAAAGGTGAAGGAGTAGGGGGGAGGAGGAGAGGGAAAAAAATATGAGAGAGAAAGGAATTTAAATAGGTGAGGAAAGGAGGCAGTGGGAGGAATGAATGAAAAACTGGAAAACTCGAAATTGAAATTATTCGATGAAAAGAAAAATCTTCTTCAGTACATAAGCGATCTGTAAAACTGCGTATTATTTTCTCGTCTTTCGAATTGATTTGAGCTAAAACGAAATTGATCCGATTTTTGAAAATGATCTGTTTGGCGTGGAACTGAATCAGGTTGATTTGCATGTGACAGTTTCGAGAATGGATCTCGATGAAGCTTCTAATAATCTTCCAGGACCGACTGGAGGTTCGCTTCTTTCTCTTTCTTATTGAAAATTTCAAATAACAAGGAAACAATCAACACTAATCGATTTCTTTTTGATAGATTTTCGATAAAATCTTATTTTCATATTTCTTCGGTGCTTTTTTTCGGTTATATGGACAGCGTTGAGCCACCCTTAGGGCTTTCATTGGCTTTTATCTTCTTTCATTGAATTGTCGCGGTATTTTTGCTTTTTTCTTACTTTTTTTGCTTTTTCTTTTTCATTCCCTTCTTCTATTTTTCAGTCGTTAACCTTTCCTATCATCTTATTGTTTTTTTTTTTGATAATTTATCAACAAAGAGTTATCAATTTATCAATTTATCAATAAGTATGTCCACATTGCTTTCTCTCTTTCTTTATCAATAATTAATAATTTCTTGTTGAAGTCTTCTTCGACTTCTCTGCCCATCTGTTATGGTTGTTTGTTTTCTTCATCAAAGAGGATTATCGCTGACCATATAATCGAAGTTTTTTTTGATTTTTTTAAAATTATTTTATTTATAGTGAAATATGATGATAGTATTGCAACGTTAAAGATTCACCTTGTAGTATTGGGTATTCGAGCAAAAAGTACCATTCGAGCTTCAAACACCGACGTTCATTTAAAATATGACGATCAGTAAGTTTTTAGATTTTATAAATCATTTTTATGAATTTATTGCCCATTTTTAAGGCGGGGATTTCCAGTCGAAAAGATCACTAATTTAAGATTCGTTGATTTTAATTTCATAAGAAACGAATATTATTTGATAAAATTGGTGTTTTATCGTTTTATCAAACTTTATAGGTTTATTCTTTGAAAAAATGCCTAGAAATGTTCGTATGGCTTATTCCATTCTTGAAAGTTAATTTATTTATGGCATGAAATACTCGGCGCATTAAGAGAGTTGAGTGCTGATCATATCATGAAGATTTGCTAATTTGTATAATAAACCTTCATTTTTATTAATAAAAACTTTCTTGCTGGGTCGAATAGATGAAAATTTTTTTCTACACGTTTTCGTTTAAAATATATCAAATGTTTTGAAAATTTTTAATAGAAATATTGCTTTTGTAAAATGTGTAAAATAAATATTTTTTTCAGAAGTTTTCGTATTCTTCTCGAAGTTTTCAAAATGAATAAAAAAAGTAAGCCACCGACAAAGAATTATATTGATAGGCGATATTTTGAGATGAAGAAATGTCCTGGCAAGATAACTGTTTGTGAATATAAACTTATGAAAGATCAATGTGTTCTAACTATTCGGAAAGCTGTTCCTGGCCTTTGGGCTAATGCTCTTTCGTCATGAAAAAAAAAGTTTTTTTCTATAAATGGTAGAAAAATGTTTAAGCATTTTTTTTTGAAAGTATAATTTTGTTTCATAGTGGCGGGAACTCATCTACACTCTTATCCCCCAAACGTCTATTTGGTCTCATTCAGGTTTGACTGATTCTACTAGCTATTAAGGAAAGAGGAATTTTAAAATGAGTCAAACCTGAACTGCTAAATGTTGAATAAGAAGAAAATGGAAATTATTGAAATATTGAGAAAGAATTATTAATTGATTATTGAAATTAGTTGTATTTGTTTTCAAATAGTGTTATTTCTGGTTAGTAGAATAAGAACTTTTTGTTATAGTGGCACATATGAATTAAAATCGATATGAATCTTCAGCACCCTATTCAGAAGGTTAGCAATTCGTGCATGAAAAGCATGAAAAGTCTTTCAAGTCATTTCAACTTTTTCATTTGTTTATCTTATCATTTTATCATCTTTTATCATTCCATCCTATTAGTTTTTTTTTATTTGTTCTATTTTTTTAAATTAATATTGTAAATATATTTGACTATTCGTTTCACTTTGTAATTTTAATATTATTTTGTAAGTCCGCAATTACAATTACAATAATTTTAATTTAACTTAATTTGAATAAATGTGCATCATATGATTATATTCTTTCCAGATGGACCAGTTTCGCTGAAAAAAAAGCTGTTATTCATTTATTGTGAATGAAAAGCTGAGAAAAATGCAGTTGTACAATTAAAAATGCTATCGTGAAAAAGATAATTTAGAAATTTTCCACAGTCCCTTTCTTTTTCATATTTTCGAAAAATAATCCCCGCAATAAATAAAGCGAACAGGCGCTAAAGTTCTTCGCCTTATTTAATAGCGTTTTCGATTCGGGTGGTTCTGAATCACCTACAATGGTCAACTAGTTCCAATTCCAATTTTGCCAGTTCGACGTTATTTCTAGAATTAGTTTTAATATTGCGTAAAGAAAGTTATTTTTTACTGTAACACTTAATAATGCATAACGAAGGAATAGAGTGGCTGAGAGGGTTGTTGCTCAATTCGGAGCGCTGATGTTGAGGTTCTAATCTCTGTAAAAATAAAAAACATTTTTAAAAACCCTGGCGATACTGGTGGTTCACCTGTATTTCTATCGTCACAAGGGACTCCATGGCATATTTGTCTGATGTGATAATCCAGCGGAGCAAGTCGAACTGTAATAATGGTAGGAACAAACGCGCTTTAAGAAAAATATTGAAGAATGAAATTTTGTCCAATTTTTTGCAAAAAAAAAAAGAAATCGAGAAGACATTTACTGCATAATAATAATAACAATAATAATAATAGTAATAATAAAAATAATAATAATTGATAATAACAATAATGATTAATAATAATAATAATTAATAATAATTAACAATAATAATTAGTAATAATAATTAATAATAACAATTAGTAGTAGTAATTAGTAGTAATTATAATTATAATTATTAATATTAATTAATAGTAATATTAATAATAATAATTAATAATAATTAATAATTATAATTAATAGTAATAATAAATAATAATAATAAAATATCATTCGTGCTAAAAGTTAACTGACAAAATGCATGAAACAACCAACTATCAAAATGCATGGAACATGAATAAATGAACTAAAGTAAACGAACTCATTGACTATTTTTGCATGAATTTTATAGAATTTTCAACGAGTTCTTCGATTTTGCGATGAAATTTCTCCGTCTTTTATCTAATACGATCACCAAAAAAATTGAGTCGAAATTTTGAGCTGAAATTTTTTTTTATTTTGGCGAAAAATTTAAAATTTTAGAAAAATTCGTTAAATTTTTAAATTGCTTTATGATTTAATTTATTTTTATAAATATTCGTAAAGATTTCAACTTTAAAATATTGATTAACAATTGGTTTTGCATGAAAAAATTTCGCCTTTTCAATCAGCTAAGCAATTTGCAATTCGCTTTGAATACCCTTCAAAGTCTTCAATTATTTATTTTAGTAGCACTGAAAGAAAAATCACTGCCATTTTTAATGATTTTTAGAAAAGATGAAAGCGCGAAAAAAATTGATAAATTGATAAATTAGCGAATAATCGTGTAAAAATGAAAGCTTCAACTAGTTTTATGTGAGTAGAAATAATAATTAATAATGATAATAAATAATAATAATAAAATATCATTCGTTTTAAAAGTTAATTGACAAAATGCATGAAATAACCAATTATCAAAAAATGCGTGGAACGTGGAACATGAAAAATGAACTAAACGAACTCATCGATTATTTTTGCATGAATTTTATAGAATTTTATAGAAAAATTACGAATTCGGAAAATACGAATTTGTAGCTCGGTATTCGTTTTCCAGGAAAACGCAATTTTCTAAGGTTTAAGGATAAATAATGTTGGTTTTTCGATGAGTATAATGAAGAAAATTATGGAATCGTTTGATTGCCTCGTTGAAGAGAGGCATTGAAAGAAAGGAGTTTTTTTGATAAGTTTTTTTTGATCTGATCACCTTATCAGTTTGCGTTTATAGCCTCATTTTTATAGTGAATCCACGCACTGGCAAATTGCAAACATTATTATATTATATATATGCGATTGATATAAGTATAAGGTATAATATGATGAAATAGGATAATCTACCTGCCTAACGAGTAGATGGGATTAGGTTCAGTGAGTTTCGAAAGCTATGCTTTCGAAGATCGATGCTGGGATTCTATTCGCTGGAGAAGCAAATTTGCCTTCTAAAAATCGAAGAGCGATCCACTTGTACTTCTATCATCTGTATTACTTCTACCCTAAGCTAAATCCAAGCAATAAAAGGAGGATTCACGAAATTTCAGCTTTTCTTTTATCTTTTTTCTCATCGAATCTCTTATCATCGAGATTTTTCATCCTCTCAAAATTTATTTTCTGAATTTTTTTCTTTTTTTTTGCGAGAAAACTTTAAGAATTTTATGGACAAAAGATGATAAATTAGATAATGTGTTGTGTGCCGAGTATCGGATAATTTTGCTTCAGACTTTGCCATCGATTCGAGCCATCATTCGTTCGTTTATCGGCGTTGTCACTATTTATCACCCGAGTAAACTCTATTCGGTTAGTTCGTTATTCATGCAACAATGCTAAATATTCTACGAAAAGCCATTTTTTCAATTATTTTATACGCTAATTTCTGTTATTTTTTCTCATCAACAGGTATGAATTTTTTTTTTTTTGTCTTCGATAAATTATAATTCAATTTAAATAAAGAAATTTATATAAATATAAATAAAAATGAAATGTAAATATAAACAAATATAAATATAAATAAATTTTTTCAATCCGATTTTTTTTTAGATAAAAATTTCAGGTCAAATTTACATTTCAGTTCAAATTGAAATATTATTTCAATTATTCTTTTTTCTTAATTTTTTTCAAAAAAAAATTGAATTTTAAGTTCTATCATTTTTGCAATCATTTGCAATCAAACAATTTTCTTATCATTGTTTTTTTATCATTATCATTCTTCTTGCTTAAATTTGATTAAATTGATTTGATTATATTTATGCAAATAACAATTGAGGCAATTGCAATTTAAGTGACGAATTTTATGAATTATTAATATTGATGGGAGACAAGGGGGAACAACGAGGAGGGGTTCAATCGGCTCAATTTCGAATAGCTATCTTTCGCCGATGTTTGGTAGTAATATATTTTGCATTACTTTATTTATTTATTCCTTCTAACAACTAAATCAGTTCAAATAACAGAAAGAAGTTGTCTAACACTTTTTCATGTTGAACTCCATCAGTGTATCTCATTTACCATAAATTTTCTATTCCATCAATATCTTCAACATCAATGGTAATATGAGATAGCGCAATGGATGATGGTTCAAATTTTTTTTCTTTTAGCGACTCAAATCAATCAAAGCTTGGTGCATTAGCGATGGGACTATGCTATGTCTTGTCAAGACTTTCCTTAATTCCATTATCAGCCCAACTTTTGATTAGGTCTCCTCGCTTTTGATATTATCCAGCATAGAACTTAATTAGATTAACGAGATTTGTGCCAGTTCCCTGTGATAAACGACGAAAAACATAGCTTAGCCAAAATAGGCGACGTTTTATTCTAATAAGTATTGTAATCGAGCGAATCGTAAGGCAAAAATCATCCATCTGGCATGAGTAAATGTGCTACTAAAATGTGGGTTTCGCTAGCGTCCCACCGGTACTTTTATATTTTTCTTAAATATTTCCTTAGTTTTTTATATAAATTTTTTTTTTTTTGCATTTTGTATTCGTACATATTCTACAAAAAAGCAATTTGTACGATTATTCTACCAGCATTTTCATCGTAAAAAAGCCATAATCGAACTACTTTATAATAAAATTAAATGAATCAAACCTTCGAGGCCTTCAGTAATTGATTCAAAATTACTGTAATGATCTGATAAAGCTAATCGCTGTCGCGAGCAACCAAATGCAATCTTTGATAAGGCCTCTATCAGCTATTTATATTGTATGGATTCGGGTGAAAGCGATGTTGAACCAGTTCGATTTCTGTTCGTTGATATGATCTGTTATTATAAGCGAAATCCAAGTGAATGCTAAATCTCATCCGCATTTCCCACCGTCAAGTAGTTTTATGGCAAAATGTAGTTATGCGAGTAGTCAGTGGAACCAATTAAGCGTATATTATATAAGCGTATAGACGTATATTGTCGCAAAAAAGTTGGCAAAACCTTTCCTTGGAATATTGCATTTACTTATTTTGAATTACTTTAATTACTTTCTTAGTTACAGCATTACACTTATCAGTTGTTCCCGATGTTAATGCATTTCTATTATTTTCACCAAATCAAGGAACAAATCAATCTGAATCTCTTATATATTTACAGGTTTTTTTTTCGGTATTTTTCATAATTTACCCTTTTGAACGAAAAATTTTATCATTTTTTGAAGTTTATCACTTGTCACCTCCGTTGTCATTCTTTATCACTTTTTGTGTACCAAATGATTAAATGATTAGGCAATGGTTACTTTTAGAAAGATGAATTGATCATTTTGTTGGTTTTGGTTTGATTTTTTTATAAGAATCAGTTATTATCATATTTATGAATTAAATTAAATTAAATTAATTAAATTAAATCAATTAAATTAAGAATGGTTGTCCGTCGAGTAAAGCGCAGTCGATTATTGGTATTGAATCAGGTCGGCGATTTTCTTTGCCACTACGAAGCATAGAAGATTTCGAATGTTTCTTTACCTTCAAAATTGCTTTAACATCAATTTCATTGGTAAGTTTTCATAAGTTTTCATATTTTTTCATTCCAATTTAATGATATTTCATTTTAATAGGAAATATTTTTTAGTACTCTTCGCTATTTAAGAAGTTACATGTTGATAATATTTCTTATCAGTTGCATATTTTCAACTTTGATAGCGGCCAGCAATTGCGATTGCTGGCTTCTCGATGCATCCTCTCTTTTTCGATATTCTTCACCATAAAATCATTCCATCTCAATAGTGATCGACCTCTTTTGCTTTTAATTTCCCTTGAGTATCATTCAAGCATTTTTACAAGCATTTTTATGATTGGTTACAAATGCAATTATTTGCTTCTTTTGTAATGATCGAAATTAAATGAAATTAAATGAAATATTTTCAAAAAAAGAGTGGCTTCTATTATTACTAGCGATGGCGTCGAACCGGGCAGCTTGGAGACGTCTTATATTTGTAGCCAGCGGAGCCAGCTTAACTAGGAATGGTGAAAGCTATTAGAAGAAGCAGAAATGAAATGTTTTCAAATTAGAACGAGAAATCACTTAAAAACAATCCATCCAATAATTTCTTACAATTTACTCATTATTCCATAAATAACAAAAATATTATCACTACATTATCATCAATTAAGCCATTTATTATTGCCAATTTGATAAAAATGAAGATGATAAGGCAAAAATTACAGGATCGTCCATATGTTGATATTATCGTTGTTGCTGAGTTGAATTTCCTTTCAAGTCTTCGACAGTCGTTTTGCATATCAGTAAAACTGAATTATGCAAAACTTTCAACAGCACCTACCTCTTGTATCATTTCACCTTTCGATCATTTAAAACATTCATGTATTATTCGAATTCAAGTTCCGTTTTCTTGGTTTCCACTACAAGATTCTCAAAAACGGGTATTTTTTATTTATTTTGTTGCTTTTTTTATCAAATTACTTCGATTAACTACTTTTACTTCGATTTATTCAAAAAAATATCGAAAAAATAACGATTAATATCAATTAATATATTAATTTAAAAATAGCGAAAAATAGCGAAAAATAGCGACAAGGAAAATAGTCTACCGTACTTATTATAAATTTTTCCTAGATCATAACATTATGGCGATCAGTTGGCACAGATTGTGTCGAATTCGTTGCCTCATCTTTTCGGTCAAATATTGTTTTACTTCCGCCACCGAAAAATCTGCAAAGTTTTAATCTTGATAAAAATCAAAATTCGTTAGTTTATTTCATGATTATTTTTATTCATTTAGAAAATTGTTTTCTTTTATTAATAGTTTTTTTCTTTCTAAGTATTTTCATCATAAGTATTTTCTAAGTATTTGTTTTCGCTGGTTTGTTGGAGCAAATTTTTTCATTTAGCTTAAATGGACCAGCATATGCATGATTCAGATTCTTGAAAGACAGGTTCATTTCTATTGAGATTAGAAGCCCAGCATTGATATTTCGAAGTGAGAATTGTTATTTAGTTTGCCTCAAATTTTGACGTTTACTTTCCTTATTGCTTCACCTCGAATATTCATGATTCTCTATTGTCGAAGAATGAGTAAACCCAGTCTCCTGAATCTAGAACTAATATACAGTTTTTCAGGCATCTGACAATCGAAGCTCGTTCCAATGCTTCATTTGCACCAAATTCACTTTCAACGATATTGGTGCGCTTTAAATATGATTATAAAGACATAAAACTTACGGCAATACAGATCAGGTATTTTTTATTAAATATAATTATAATTTCATCAATCTTTTATCGATCTTCAATCCAATTTTTATCAATTTTCAGCCAAATTATTTTTAATTTTTTAAATAGATTATGGCTTGAATATCGTTTGGAAATCATATCGGTTTCTACCGCTAATTCTTCTGTCTGGAAGATTCTTGTCGAATCTTTACCACTTCCTGATTATCAAATCACTTTTACTTGCCAATACATTGGAACTAATTATCTTCATGAGTGAGTTTCAATATTTTTATTTTTCTTTTTAGTAGCGTTTTCTATTTTTGACTTCTATGGTTGTACTTTATTCAGTAGTACGATAGTGTAATGGCTGCTTCAACTACGAGAAAGTCCTAAAATTGATCTCGCTTCTTTTCCTTAAGCTGAGTAAATCTGTTATTACAAATGAATAATGTTGTGGACCAATTTTTTTTTTAAACCCTGAGGAATAGAATAGAAATAACGATTATCTAGCGAACGGACAGGAAAAACAGAGCTAGCAAAACTAAGTTATACATAGTTTGAAGAAAACCACAGTGAGGATTTGGATGGATATTCAAAGTATTTAGTTATTACAGCTTCAAAAATTTTGGCTCAACTTAATCTAATATGATCTTTTAATAAATCGTTAATTTTTTTGGTTTTGGGCTAATTTTAAATATGCCTACGGCTACGAATATTAATGATTATAAAAAGTTACAAAAGTTACAATATAGGTCTTTTCTTTCTGCAGCATTTCTGCTAGGCTTACTGCATTCGCTGTGAGTATGAGATCCTTTAATCAGAGATTCGCTTGCGGATCGAAATACATACACCTGGATCTCAGCATCATCTGGACTTGAGTTTTAATTAATTAACAAGGTTCGCTTGCGACAGGTCGTTGAACCATGTTACTTGAGATTTTATAAAATCTTTTATAGTTTTTTTTAATAGAAAAACAAATCAAACTTGTCTTCTGCCATGAAAAAAAAACATTTCCAGATACGATGGTTATATATTAATGATACTACTAAGATTGCGAGGTACCACAGAAGTGAGCGATTTACTTACAAACGAGTATAACAGTAATCAACTCTGGGCACATTGGCTTGTAAATTATTCATTCAGTGATAACAAGACAGTCGAGGTAAATTTAAATAATTTTGATAATCATTTGGGCTTAAGTCGATTTAATTTTAAATGAGTTTTTTAATGATGGCGGTCAAAAATTTTTCCATCCTATCTTTCTTCTTTTGATTTTTGAATTTTTGCTTATTTCTTTTGCATAATTTTATTTTTAAATTTCTAAATTTTTTTCTGACAACTTTTTCTTTCAGCTTCTTTCGGCTTTTTTAAAATATAACCCCAAAATATTGGAGGTAAAAAGGCTCAATAGGTTATTGTTCGATTCGAAACGCAGAAGGTTCTACTTCTAGTAGGAAAAAACCTGTCCAAAAATCCCAATGATTCTGACTGACTCACCCATAATTCTATCGTCAAGAAGCTTCCTGGCTCATTTGTCTGGTGTGAAAAGTTAGCGAAATAAGTCTAATTAGTAACGGTGAGAGCTCCTAAAAAAAAATTCTACTTAAGAATAATTAATGAGCATAAAATAACCATTAAAAATGATTTAAGATTAGATTCTCACGCCTCTTCGCCGTGGTCTTACAGAGTTCTTAGAGGCCATTTTGATTACTGTTATTTTAAATTATTATCTTCCAGAATCATGCGGCATCAAAACGCTTGTCTATCAATTTTCAAATACTTCCGGATGCTCCATATATAGTAATTCCAATACTCAGGGTATGATTATCTTCCTTATTTTTTTAGTTTCCGGTTTTTTTCATTGATTCATTTTTTTTCTCATTTAATTTTCACCATGTTACCTCAACTTTCTGCACAACTGACCTTCAAAGAATCTAATCAGTGGTATAGAAGAAGGAACTCATTGCAAAATAGAAGTCCTCTAAGACCTACTGTATTAATTGCTTGATTATTCTATAAAATTCTGTGGTGAAATTTTTTGCCTTCCTCCTGCTGATCAGACTTATGGCAATAGGACTTATGTCGAGACAATAGGACAGAGTCCCTTAAACAATTCCTTTTAGTGAGAATTTCCTCGAGGATTTTTCGAGAAAAATGCTGCTTAATAGAAATTAGTCCTTCGAATAGTTTACAGGACACTAATGTAATTAATACAGCAATATTATCGGGGCGACAAACCGGTATGTCGATGAAAATATTGGCTATTTCGGACGGTGGATATCTTTCAGATGTTACGACTAAATCACATTGTATAAGCTCAGAAACACGAGTTCTAAAAACATCGCCAACTTGCAGTTCGGTCTATGTTGACGGGTTTTTTTATTTTTTGAAAAAATATCATGATAAAAATTTTATTTTAACTTTTTTTAAATATATTTTTTATACTTTAAAAGATATTGTATTGTTGTGATAACTGATTAATTATTTTAAGTATATTTTCGCAGATCAGAAATGAGAGGCATGAGAAAGGCTAAAATACATGTGCATTATGAGATTTGGTCGGCGAGTATTGAGTTATCAGTATGGTATCCAAAATTTCCAATGACTGTATGGATATCCGACTCTGTACTTAATGCTGTAAAAGGTATTTGATAAGTGATAAGTGGTTAAAATTTACGTAAATCGTTGTTATATTTTTTCCTTAAATTTACATCTCGATTTTTTTAAAAATATGGATTATATTGTTTATCACACCATCCACTCAAAGATAAGTTATCAGTGGTTGCTTTTTTTCGACCATCTTTAATAATGGTACTCAAACTGCATATTTGAGCATACAGCAGTAAAAATGCGAAAGCGGAGTGATATCAGCTGAAAGAAAATAGACCGATGCTTTTAATAAGGTTTAGCAGGATAATGAAATATTATTAAATATTATTATTAAATATTTTGATAATAATATTTAATAATTATTAAATAAGTATTATTATTAATATTATTATTAAATATTATCATTAATATTATTACTAAGTATTATTATTAATATTATCATTGTAAATTTTTTATTTTTTTAAATTCTACAATATTTATTTATTTCATTATTTGTGAATATTATTTTTATTAATTATTATTTCCGATTGGCAAATTGCTGTTTGGAAATGGTTGCCAAATCGAAAAAATAGGAGTGACGCAAGGCAGTTTGCTTGTAGAGCTTTATTTCAACAAGCAGAGGTTTTTTTTTCTGCCTAAAAACTTAGAAGAACTATTCCATGGTGTCGATTTAAAATATTTATTTAAGATCCGAATACTGACCGATTTTCATATCGACGATGAAGAAACCGGTGAACGAATTCATTTAACCGGCGATCGTGATACTTTATTCGATGTTACTGTTTTAGCGATGAATAAAGTGCATAGTTCAAATATTGCAGTTGTGGCGCTTCAAAAATCTGAGCATCGAATACATGCAATTGCACAAGGAATCGGTTCAGCTAGGTCCATAATTTGCAATTTGTTCTATATTCTATATTTGTTCTATATCGGTTACTTTCTGTCCGTAAATGCCCTGAAGGGAAATGTCGATTTAATGGCACAAAATAAATTTAATGTATTTCACTGGCTCAGATAACCGATACTGAATCTTGCCCATATTCATCGAGAGTTCTGCCCAACTTGGATCACGGAGCATATGACGATAAATATAATATTATAAACATAATATTCTATGGTACTTATCATGCTTGTACTTGGAGGAATGCTTCTCCTAACTGATTGAAAAGGATATTTCATATTCTCCAAATATTTATGGATATAAATTCCTTATATAAATAATTCCTTATATAAATAATTTGTATTTTATTTTAATTTTTTCCCTCTATTTAAATTTAGTATTTTATAATACTTACAGAATATTCATAAGATCAAATATACCGGATGTTGAATATGGTAGTTCGTCGATCTTGGTTCGTAATATAATTTTTTTAAATGCCAGCGGCATTGAAATCATATCAGAAATTTTAATTTACATTTGCTCGTACTCGTATATTTCAGCATAATTTTTTAATTTAATTATAATATATATAGTTTAATTTTATTTTATAATTAGTATCATTAAATAATCTGGAATAGGCTTACAATATTATATTCAGTACTGCAATGAATATTGGGAATATCAACAAAGAATGGCTTATTGAGGTCCATCTGGAAAGGAATAAACTTCTAGATTATCTGCTAAAGTAATTACGATTGAAGCATAAAATCCCTCACTATATTGTAATAGATTTCAGGTGACCGAGGAGGAAGTACGAGTAAAAAGTCTCGCAGTTGAATCCATTGTTGACATTGACTTTTTAATATCTCAAGTTCCAAATAAATTGAATACTTTTCTAGTATATCCGTCTCTTCAAAAAGTTTTAACTCAAAAATATCAGGTATACTATAGAGAAATCTAAATTTATTGAAATTCAGCCCTAAGGGCCTAAATAAATATTTCGATATATTTTATAATTTTGAGGGAAATAAACTGAAATAAATTTATTTGTAGAAAAAAAGAATTAAATCCCTCTATTTTATTCCCTTTTTTTTTAGCATGCAATTCTCGTTTGTCGAATACATTATTCGGATGAACATTGGATAGAACTATCCGAATTAGATCCAGAACATTATTTTCTGGATGCATGGTCCTCAAATGATCAAGCACTAGGAATCAGCCGACAATCATATAGTGAAATCAATTTGATTGCTTTACAAAACGTTGACCAAGTGAGTGTCATAGTGCAATTAAAAAGTCCAGCACATTGTGCTGATCCAGATGCTATGCCAATTGCTTCTCAAGATGTGCTTATCGAGATGCGATTTGATCATACTAAACAAAAAGCAATCCAATCCGATCCGCGTATGATTTTCTTTTTAAAAATTCCTTTTTTTTCCTATTGAAATTTTATGAAGCTTTTTTTCTTGGGAGAAGAGGGAGGGGGGAGGGGGATCTGCAAGTTTTCGTTTTTTTCATTAATTTCTAATGTATCTTTAAGATTTTTCTTTATGAACTAAACGTAACAAAAATTCATTTTTTAACTCAAAATTCGTAGCATTTGTTCATATTAGACTTATTGGAATTGGCGATAGAAGTAAGGATGAATTGCCTGCACAATCCAGTTTTTTACGAATGGAGAGGGAGTGAAAATATCGGTGCTTGGAGATAAGATCCAATTAAATTGTCCCCTTTGACCTTCACATGGCTGTCCTGATTAAAAGATCACAAGAATGATTTTTTAAATCAAAATAATGGATATCAATAATATCAATATGAAAGAAAATGGTTTGCATTTTCAGAAAGTTCCAGTACCAGCAATTCATTTATAGCACAAAAAGTAAGTCAGTGGAGGAGCGGATTACTGATTTCGATAATGTGTATTTCGGGTGCAATAATAGTATTATTGTATATTTTGATTGTGCGAGGCAAAAAACCATTAAATGAGGGTTATGAAAAATTGGTACTACCAATTTTAACACGACTTAGCTCATCTGGCTCATGCGGAAAAGATGAAGATTCTCAAGAATGGGTTTGGCTATCAAAGGCACAGATTGATGGTAATAGTATCAGCAAGTTTGTTTCCAATAAATTATTTTTCATTTTTTTTTCCTTTCTTCTTCCTTCCTTTTTTTTTCTTATTCCGTATTAATTATTCCTTTTTATTTCAAATCCCTTAGATCAATGATTTGATTATTATCATCGAAAGGAACTTTCCATGATGACAGCTAACAATCTTTGGTCGAAATAGTTTATCACCTGATTACTCTTAGAATGCTTGGCTTGCTTACGTGAAGATTTATGAATTAATCTTTAGGGATTGTCTTTTACTGCATATATAAATACTCGATTTTTAACGGTGATTGATTGATTGCTGTTAGAAGAAGGAAAAGATTTATCAACGAAATTTTCAATTTTTCGTCGATTGAAAAATTTTAAAAAAAAATAATATAAAGAATTAATATTCAGATGTTCAAAAAAGTCAAGTATTCATGCGATTGAAAATTCGACGGATTCGATAGGAACTCACAAAAGTATTTCCTATCGTGGTTCAGAAATTAGTATTTTTATATCGCCTCAGGCAACTATTTCTGTAAGTTGCATTTGTCTCCCTTATTATTAAGTTTTATTATTCTACGCCACAGAATTTACCTTCGTTTTTTTTATAAAATGAAATAATTGTCAATAAATAGTCTATTTAATCTAATAAGCTGATTAATAAGGGTTATAAAAATGGATTAAATGATGTGAATTTTTCAGATCAATAGTGATAGCTTAGGAAGACATACGAAGAGTTGGCATAATCCAAAAATAAGAATGACAAGAAATCCATTAGCTGATAGTTCATCTGAATACAATCTTTCGAGGTATATTAATGGTAAGCAATAAGTTCAATTATTTATGATTTGATTAATTCATTTCCATCGTAGAAGTTTAATTTTGCAAATTTAACTATAAAAATTTTTTTAGGCTATAGTCTATCCACTAAATCAACGATCAACTCACAAAGATCATGGAAGGATATCGAAAACTGTGGACAATACCAGCGAAAGAGTTGGCGTTATCCACAAGCACAGTGGGAAGATTCAGAACTATCGTCCGATTATCTTAAGGAACTTCGCGAAACGCTCGCTTAAATTTTTTCGTTTATGTATTTTGGTTCAATTTCATTTTTATCAATTTTTTGTTTGATTTGTCATGCAAATGAAATTTATATTAGATTTCATATTAGGTTTACTTAATTATAATTGTTTTTCTTTTTACTGCCGTTTTTTTTAGCGAATGTAGTTTTTTTTCTTCTTTTTTTTTAGCGAATTTAGACTTATACGGGTATATCATTTGCTGATAAAATATTTAATATATTATTGGCGAAAATCAGAAAAAATAAAAACCTTTCTTCATGGTGAGATTAATTGATCCGCTGGTGCGCTCTTTCTCTTTCGACAACATATTCTATTCCAAATTTTCCAAATTTGTTCGATCAATTGGTGAGATACTTCTGGCTGAGTGGCTTTTCGCCATTTTCGCCGTTCAGCGATATCGCTAACGAATCGAGAAATGTACGCTTGAAAACTAGCCGAAAATTATTTTTCCTAACATATATTTGCGTAAAATAAATATTAAAACGAATCGAGAAATGTACGCTTGAAAACTAGCCGAAAATTATTTTTCCTAACATATATTTGCGTAAAATAAATATTAAAAAAATCATGAATTAACAAGAATTTATTGGCATAAATTTGAATTTTTTTCGTTATCCTTGAGAGGTATATAAAAACTTTGTGTGCCTCTCAAATATTCGATTATGATTATCGATAATATTTGCAAAACACGAGATATCAAAAAAGAAGAATGATATAAAACAATTATTTACAACATAAAATATAAAAAAAAAAACAATAAATCTCTTATTTTTACATATCGCATAAATTTTTATAAGCGTCGATATTTTCTTAATTTTTTTTTTGCAAATATTCTTTAAATTATTATAATCTTTCATGAATGATTAAACTTTAATATCTACGAAAGTCTCCAACCAATTCCTACCAACCATTATAATTTTAAATTTTGACAAAATTTCGCATTAACAATATCATTAAATTTATGAAGAAATATCATAAAATTTGACGGTGATTTTTTGAGCACTATAAACACTGAAGGTAAAATAAACAAGCATAATAAATAACAGTAGATTTTCGAGTAGTTAACAGAGAACGATAAAGAACTATTTGTTATAATTCAAGAGGTTAAGAAAAAATTCACTATTTGTATGGAACCCAATTTGCAACCAAATGGTCCTCATTAAATAAGAACTAATGGATACAAAGAACGAAATAAACTTTTCAAAAAATTTCATTAATTCCTTTATCATTTTTTTTTTTTTTGCGGCTCGAGGACGTTTGATAAAAATTAACAGTTTTACCCGCATCATCTTTCTTTTTCCATATGCTTAAACAAATCTCCTGCACAATTTTTTGCCCAAAATCCATTCATAAATCCACCGCCCGACAGCAATAATTATTTTAACAAAAATGACAATTAAAGTAACCATCAATATAAGAAAAAATTTCGTATATATGCGGGCTTCTTTAATTGTTCGGCTCATTTTTGCTTTATTCTGCGTTATAAGCCCGCGAATTCTTTTTCATTTTTCATTTTTCACTTTTTTTTCTTTTTCAATGTTTAAATCAATGCTGATAATGTAAATTTATTTTTTTCCATCTTTTTGAGCCGTTTTCTTCATCCTCAAATTTATAAACAATTGATGAGATGCATATTCAATAAAGAGTAATCAAAGGAATGGGAAATAAACTGTAGATGATAAGAATTTACGAAATTCCACGAATATTATCCACAATTCAACTTTTATATCTCAACATAATCAAATAAATGTTTGACGAGAAACCGTTGAAGTTATTTTGATCTTTAATTTTCCAATCAAATCACAAAAATCATTCATTCGCTTCATCATCGGACTGAAAATGACAAATACAGCATAGAAGTTGATTTTTTTTTACTTTTCACTTTCTTTTCGGACAAATCGAACAAACCAATTATTTCAGGAATCGCGTAAAAGACTATTCTACCTAAATTTCACGAGACATGAAATCCAGAGACAAATGAGAAAAAGCATTTAAATTATGAAACTTTAATTCAGTGGCCTAGAACATACTTTTTCAAATCCTTACTTATGAAAAAATTGAAATTTATTAAATAATACCCTATAATCCCTATAATTTACAAAAATTTAATTTCTATATTTTCCGATAATTTTAATTAGCTATTTAAACAAAAGCGAAAACAAAAAGATAAATTTTTCGAGTCTCTACGCCATTATTTAAATACCACTACCACTATTAAGAAAATATATCTGAATCTACAGTATTAAATGAAAACCTCTTCAAGCGGACAACTGGCAAGCAGCGCTGCTGGAGTTACTTGCTCCGCTGGGTGACGTTTTTCATCTGGGACAACATTATTTTGATCTATGTCTTTCGGCACCCACCCAACTACAAGTGGACAGACAGGAAAGTCCGACCCAAGAGCTACAGCCTGAAAAAAGTTTTAACAAAGAAATAATAATGAAAAGATATCACACCACCTCAATCATTAATAAATGATGCGAGTCGCTACCTTTTCAGCGTCACGACGTTTTTTGTACGTAAAATAAGCGGTCACTGGTTTACCATGGGCACTTGCAGCAAAGTCCATATCGATTAGCTCCCCAAAATTCTCCATATGCACTATAACATCATTTTCATTCTCAGCAGTGAAACCACTAACAGCAACGACACGCGGACGGTTATCAAGTGCCTAAAAATCACCAAATAAAACTGGACATCTTTTCAATTAAAATTAAAATATTTACACATTCGAATAGATTTATTGAAGAAAAAAAAAGCCAAAAACCTGTGTAGAATTATAAGGCCGACCCTTTTTGTAAGGGTTTGCTACATCCACAGGATTTCCAATACCTAAAAAATTTTTGTGCTAAATTAATTTTTAAAAAAGATATGGCACAATAATGTAAAGTGTGAATATTCAAAAGTAATGAATGGGAATTCTAACATATTTTAACATTATTATTATCCACAGAGAAATAAACTTCATGATTCAATTTAATTCAGCTCAATGAATTTTTCAAAAATGTAAAAAAAATTTACCATCAACATTACATCGAGCCCTTTTTTGAAGTCGGTTAGCTGAGTCATCATTTGACTCAATGCCAATATCGCTGAAGGAATTTAAACAGCTATCGCTCATAGAAAGTAATTTAACAGTTAGCCCTTCTATATCAGATTTCAGCACTTTTACCGATTCATCGACTTTTTTGAAAATCTGAATTTAAAATGATGAAAGTAATAAATAAAATAAGAGAAAAAAACAATGATAGTTATGGCGGCCATTACTTTAGCATTCCCTAATATCCATGAAGACAAATGGCGAAGCTCTTAGGCACTAAGATTAAAACACCATTAAAACATCATAGGTAATACCACTTCTCTCTTAATTCTTTTAGAATTGTAATAAGATTACCCTTCAACATTAGAGAAAATTGAGAAATTCACACAATACACACAACAAATTACGCTTATCATCCAAGACTAGTTATTTAAAAAATAGCCAAAAACTATCAATGATAATAAATTTTTCTCTATTTTTTTCAAGCGTGAACTTTGTGATAATGAAAATATAGAAGGGCTTCGGATAATAAATATGAAAATGATAATACTTTACTGAGAAATTGATCTGAAAGAGAATAATCTTAATGAGAAGGAATGCGAATGTTTAGAAATTAATTTTGAAGATTAACCAACCCTAAAGGACAACAAAGATGATTTACAGAATTTACCTATAAAACAATTATCTTTTTCCTCCCACCATTGGAAATTCCATCTAATAATCAAATTTCAAATTCCATCTAATAATCAATGTTTTTATAGCTGAGATTTCGATCAGAAAATTCCAAATTCTTTTCGAAAAATTTTAAATTTACTGATAGGATAATTGAATTCAAAAATAATGGATTGGTTAAAATAAAAAAAGAAAACAATGAATGAATTGTTAGTTTCAAAAATTGATTCTTCATTGTTTTGGTGTGGACAATTTATCAAAAGTATGCCATTAAAATTTATAAACGTTATTAATATAAAATAAAATTTTTTTGAAAAAAAATCAAGATTTTATTCAAATATAACTTTAAATTCTTCTTGTTTCTTAAATTTTTGCAAAATTTCTCCATTAAAAATGAAATCCTTCAAAGTAAAATATAGTGCAATACAAATTCAAACCTCTCCATATTTTCGATTCGCATTTTAAATCCTTAACCACAAAACCAAACTGTGTTGTAAATGAATTTAAAAATTGAGGATATGCGTGGGATGAATTAAATGCTACTATAAATGCTAGCAGCAATAAAAGCAATATTAATAGCTATTAATAAAGCAGCAACGATAATACTTATTATAAATCATATGCAAATCATTTAAAACAAATAAAAAATATAGAGGAGTAACCTGATAAAGTTGTTTCTTTTTCTCCGGATCAGTACATTGTTGCATTTTTTGTACTATGAGTTTTTGTTGTTCTATTTCCTTGGTTAGTAAATCAGATTTTCTTCGTTGTAAATCCAATAAACGCATTTTATTTTCTTTCTCAAGTTTTCTTTTACGACGGACCTAAAAAATTTCGGTAAAAAAATTTGATTTTGAATCTTTCAATTAATTTAAACTTCTTAGACGATATGATTAAACGATTTCTGATTGATAAAAAATAATGATGAAAATTTAAAACTTCTGCTATTTAAACAAAACAAGAATGAAAAGAAAAGAAATGAATTAAAGTTAGGCTGGCTCAGCTAGGTAAAAGGGTAAGACGTCTCCAAGCTGCTCGGTCCGACGCAAGAGAAGCTATTTAAGCCCATATATCGCTGGGCCCCTTATTGTTCAAAATCTTTCCCGACGTCAATCACCACAGCGTTTAGCAAGTAACGAAATATATGCCAACTCCTGTGGTGGACGACAGAGAACGTACCCTAACCAGAGAAGGTAACGCTTTGTGACAACATTAATGCAGGTGGTATTTAATCGAACATGGATATAATCATGTGTGATTTTATCTGCTTAATTTTATCTGATCCGTAAAATGTGCACCTTTAGACATGGGCGGTCAAAGGCTAATAGCTTCCTTTCCACTCTCATTGGCCATGTTTCACAGCCATATATAAGTACTAAAATTCAATTAAAAATTAAACCGAAGTACACTATCAAAAAAACAAACTTCGACATATTTTTCTTTATCGACGATGCTTGGATTTGTATAAGAAAGTGAAGTTTTGGAGCTATCAAAAGGTTTTAATGAAGCAATATTTGTTCTTTCCTGAATTTTTGGTGGTGGTGCGTGAACATTTTTAGCGGATCCTTTATAATTGACAAGTTCCGAGTCGCTCGATCTGGCTAGCTGAATGATACGATTAGTAAATTCCATGACAATATTAAAAAAACGAACAAAATATTTAAAAAATATAATCGATATGCCAGTAAAATGAAATAAACGATATGAACCGTTTCTTTATTGATAGCACTTGATTGGTCCTCAACAGTATGCCAAAAAACTTTGATAAAACGATTATTCAGAATAGGTGCAGTGCTTTTGTATGCAGCCATTGCTTCTAGACGAGTTGCATAAGTTATGAGTGCAGCTTCTTGATCCCCATCATAGCATACCTAAGGAAAAACTGGTTAAACCAGTATTATTACTTTTTTAACTTCAGAAAATATCATTGATTAACCTGGATATTTACAATTTGACCAAACTGCGCAAAATGTTCGTTCAATTTTGCAATATTATTCATTGATGCTGGTATTTTGCGCACTTGCAGAGTTCGATTATTTGTAGAATTGAAAGTCGTTCCCCGTAAATTATAACGCGTTTGACCACCCCTCCCACTGACTACTCTATGTCGAGACTGATCATTGCTATGCATAGAAGAATTCGGCTAAAATAAAAAATGCATGTAATATAAGGATAATTCTTGCAATTGTTCGAATAATTTTAAAATGACTAAAATGAGTAAAAAAATTTACTCGTGCAACTGGAAGAGGTGTTATTGTTGTTGAAGGATGAGTGGGGTCATAGGATAAATTTGTCGGTTGAACGAGAACTGAAGTTGATACTGACGGAACCGTATAAGTATTCTGCTGCCATGAAACAGCAGGGGGCACATGAGATGGAAAAGGAGGCGGTGGAACGGAAAAATCAATAGAAGGTGCTTGAACTGTCGGTGGAACAGCTGCAATGGATGCAGCACTTAATGCAGGAGCCTCAGGATTATAACCTGTAGAAAAAATGGTTTTATTAACTTTATAATGTTTGTTCAAATGAAGACAATAATTTAATTAAAACTGATTGAGGTAAACAGTCTAACAATCTGAAATCAACTATGAAAAAAACTATTAAATTTCCGTATATAAACATTGGAAATTAGCCTTTTGTTTATTTTCTATTCCATTTTCTATTCCATTTTAAGCTCCACACTCCATTTTTATATATGTCATTATATATATATATATATATATATAAAGTGGCTTCAGCAGATTCTAGGAAAACCAAAGATCTTTATTCAAAATAGTACACTACCAGATAAGATGCGCCCTCAATTTCTCAAGCCTTTTGTGAAGAACCTGAGGTTTAAAATAGTCTTTATTACCCACAAGGGGCAAGAAAAGAATTTATAAAGAAGAAAAGACAAAAGCTCCATTTTCAATAGTCATAACAATGAACAAAGCCTTACTACCACTTACCAATAAATGGAAGATTTGTTGGTCAAGAAACAAGAGGCAAAATGTACTCAATGTTATATCAATGCAGTATATATTTTCATTCCATTTCATTATTTCAATAGCAATTCTAGACAATTAAAAAAAATGCGAAACCTTCAGACAATCCAACAGGATGCAATGCATTTGAATTTGCAACATAGACATTATCGACTCCAGGAGGAGGTGGATTTAGAGGAGTATAACCAGGAGGTGGAATACTAAAGTTATGAGTTATCTGTGGCACATTTGTTGCTCCTTTTCCACTACCTACCATCTTTTCTAATGCAATATCATCAACGACAACAGGATCGGGACCATGATCATAGATGCACTGATCACCTTTCATGCAGTAACCTTTTTCATCATAATCACGACAACGCCTTTTTTTACGTTCGCTCTCAATACTTTTATCTCGCCTATAAATGACAGTAATTAATTGAAAAAGGATAAAAACGTCTTTTTCGATCAATAAAATAAATAACAAAATAAAAGCAGCAAAAAGCACTGAATACTTTTTTTCAGTTAAAATTGATTAAAAATTGTCACAAATTATTGAAAATTTGCCTTTGTCTATCGAACGGTGATCTTGACCGTTTTCGTTCAATTCGATCACCTCGATCCATTTTATGTCGATCGGCTTGACGATGAACAATTCGAGCCGTTTGCAAACCAATACGACGATCTTGACCACGATCAGGCCGATCAACTCTCCGATCACGTGGAGATCTGCTGCGACGCCTTTCATTTCTATAAGAAAATGAAAAAAATCTTCACTATGACAATTAAACATCGAAAGTAGTTTACACAATCGGTAGACTGGGTTGCAAGAAAGGTTTACAAAAATTAAATGGGAAATATGAAAAAGGAAAAAACTCCATGATACCCTCGTCGAATTTCATCGCGTGGAGTTGACTGAGGAGGAGAAATCCTTTTCCTAACCGCTTTTTGCACGGGAGGTTTATGAACAGTTGAATCCGATTCAGGTGACTTCTTTTCGGACTCACGTTCTCGAGACTAAAAAAAAAGAAGTATTTAAAAAAAGATATTAAGAGTCAAAAGTTGTTGAATTTTAAAACGAAACGAAACTAATAAGCATCAAAATCGAATTTACTTTAGGTCGTTCCTTTTCTTTCTGTTTTTCGAGTAAAATATTCATTTTTCGTTTGTCTTCGTCTTTGCGTTCTTTTTTTTCATCTGTTTCCTTTTTTTCAGTTTTAACTGACCCTGATCGTTGTGAATTTCCCATAACATTTCCTTGTGAATCCAATATATATGTTCGATCTCTTATAACTGCGAACAATTTTTCGACAAAAGGTTTTGCTTCTAAAAAATCGAATTTTCACAAAATGACAAACAATTTTCGAGAATTAAAGCTAATAATAAAATTGAAGAAAGAGAAATAGCAAAAATCTTTTTGATGTGAAAATCAAAAAATTTAGATTCAAAGGAAGACTTGTTCGAAGAAAAACATCCAATTGTTCGATACAAAATTCAATCAGTTCATTTTCCGATTTGTCTTTCCGTAGCAATGCTAATACGTATTTGGCTAACGCGGCTGGTTCAGCGTCACATCTAAATAAATTTAAAATTTAAGTCATAAAAATTAATGAATTATATTTTCACAAAAATCTTTATAACTAATTTAAAAATAATTTCTGAAATGTTTCAAACAACACTATTGACTAATTCACTGAAATAGTATCAAAACGTGAATTTCTTGGAATTTAGATTGGATTTCAATAAAATAAAAACCCACATTGGTGCCATTTCTTTCGTCAACCATATTCGTAATGCATCAGGAGATTCAATTATCATCGCTCTGGTCTTATATTTACTGTAAACAAGAGAAAAATTTGATTCTTTTAGAACTACAAATGAATTCAAAATTTTTATTTTGTCGAAATAGCATAAAAAACGTATCAATTATGCGCATTTTTAGCTGCCGTGATCCGGATTGTAATATCATCTTTTGCCTGGCCATTTGGCATTAGAGTGGCCGCAAGATATTTAAAATCGGGCACTTCCTCAATCGGCAATGAATTTACAAAAAGAGGCATTTTACCAGCTTCTTGCGCTTAAGACGAAAAGACTTTCCTTTTATTTACAATGATACAGCCTTATTAAAATTACTGATAAATTATTGATTGAAAATTATGCAAAAATTATTAAAAATTAAAATTATTTATAGAATCTTCTTTGTTTTATAACTTTCTATTTGTATTAAATTTTCCAAATAATGATTTTTGTACTAAGATTTTAATAAAAGCCATATAACTGAATGTTTATATTATCACCTCAAGCATTATGTTTAGACTTCTACCCAACTCACAAATAAAGCTATTATTGAAAATCCAGCCCGGCTGCTGCTTACTGGTATTTCTATTGTATGTACCACGCAGGTTAATATCCAGAAAGCCCATACAGTAAACCTAATCAATAAGAGAAAATTAAGCAATATTATTTAGAAAATTGTTTAACCGCTTTTAACCTTTAAAAATCCTTATGTAATGTTAATTAATTTATTATTTCAATTTATTAATTAAGAGAAATCTATAAGCAATAGTTTTTTTAAACTTATTTACTTCTTCTAGAAATAAAAAAAATTGAAAAAAAGATTTTTCAATATTTTAAGAATCATGAAAAAAACTAACTAATCAACGATTGAAAATGAATGAAAATGAAAATGAAATGAAAAATAATGATGAAAAATGATAAATAATGAAGCAAGCAACATGAAAAATAGAATAGAATGAAATAAAATTGGTATGAAACACAGTAAAACTGGAAAATTGCAAATTTCCTCCAATTCATAAAGACAAGAATTGAGTTGTCGCTCTCATTTCGGAGTCTTTCATTTAAAAAAAAAAAAAAATTGGGATGATATCGGCAATTCATTTATATGATTTCTATCACCAAATGATTCCCCGCCAAAAATTTTTCTGGTCCAATAAATCAGTGAAGCGAATCGAATTAAAAATGATAAGCGTCTCTAGTAGAATAGCACAACGAATAGATTTCTTGTTAAAAAATCTCGAAAAAATTCACCGAATAAAAAAGAACTATTCAAAAGTTCAAAAGTGTATATTTTGATAGCAAATTTTATTTAAAAAAAATTGAACTAATTCAACAAAGAATAATAAAAATAAACAAACGCATAAATGTCATCTTTTTTTGACAATTTCACTAGAATTAAATAAAAATGAAAAAGAAATACAATAAATTAAAATTGAAAAAAAAATTAAATTAAATTAAAATAGATTAAATAAAATATAAAAAAAAGTGGAGAAAATTTAGAAAAACTAATATGAATTCGTATAATTTCAGAAACAAAAATATAAATTAAAAATAAAAAAATAAATTAAATATCAAAAAAAAAAGAAAATTGAAAGAGAAAATAAAATAGCAAATAATTTTTCATTCGTTTTTATTTTTGCATATTTCAGAAAAAATAAATTTTTCGCAATAATTTTTAAATTTTTAAAAAAATTTTAAAGAGAAAAAAATCGTAAATTTTCTTAGCGCAAAGAAAACGAAAACGAATTGAATGAAAACTTTGCATATTTGAGAAAAAAAAAAGCGCTATTAATTTTACTAATTTTAATGAGAATTTTAGAGATTTTTCAACCGAATTTTTTAAATTATCGACTTTTTTAAAAAAAATTTCTAAAAAACATTCATTCACCGAACTTTTCCTACGATAAAAATCTACAACGCTGAGAAAAAAACCAATCGAAGATATGAATGAAAATTCGCTAGCGGCTCATACACGCCACGCTCAACTAAGCCACCGTAGTCTGGCTTTTCGTTTTAAGACATCCTCACATATGTTTCGGATTTAACAGCACGAATATTACTTTAATATCCTATCCTATATAGTTAATAAACATTATGAAAAATTTGTAAAACATTGGAAATTCATTTGACCAGTCCAATAACAAATTGTATGGCGAATGAATTGCTTCTCAATTAGTCCTGCTGAATTCACCTGTGGTACTTAGCCAGTGCTAGTTCATCTACGATATATGTGCAGCATTTGTATCCGTAGGCATTCGATTATGTTGACATGCGCGTCTGTCTGTTTTGCTCTGTTGGCTCTGTCTACTAGTAAGCAGATAGTGCTAGAGGAAAGGAAGAAATACGTTGTTACTAGCTATGATTCGATACTTGAATGGAGATCCTGGCTAACAGGTGAAAATGTGGCAATATAATCAAATCAGCAGTCACCAACAATGATTGGGTTGGTTCCATCGACATCGAGTGTACAATGCAGATGATGTTCCCGATCTCTACCTGACCTGTTTACTATTGTTGTCAAATGGTAGTGTGGATCGAAAACCAACAATGCACAGCACTGAATTTATCTTATTTATCTTTATTTAATTAAATGGGAGCACTAATGCTGAGATTCGATTTTCCGCTGGAGTAAACCTGTCCAAAAATCCGAGTGATGCTAGTGACTCATCTGTATTTCTATCGCTAAGGGACTCTCTGGCATATTGCCCAATGCGACAAGCCAGTGGAGCGAGTTTAACCAGTAGTAGTGAGAAATGTAAAAAAAAAATTAAATAAATAGTTTTTTATTTAAATATTTATTAAGAATATTAAGTGAAAAAAAGCAAAAAAATGTAGTAAATTATACGAGCGAATTCCTCGGCGGATAGGTTAATCGCCTGTACCACAACAATTTAGAGGAAAAAATTGTATATTTTCTATTTTTCTAATTGGCAGTTTTTTTTTTTTAATTATAAAAATTATACAAGTGCGAAGAATATGGCCAAAAATCAGACGATAAAGATGCTTTATAAAGATTTTCCCAATGCAGATAAAAGTGTAGCCAACAAGGCTAATATATGGGAGAACATGGAAAAACGGTTTTCCGACTTCGGCAGGATTCGAACATGCAATCTTCGGTTCCATATATATATTAGGCAAGATTGATTAAAACGCAAATAGCTACTTCTTGAAATTTTAGACAGGTTTAACTAGACGAATCACAACACCTATCAGTAGCCATTCGAGCTGGGTAATTGCAACTATTCATTGAGTATGAGTTACTATCTTATAAAATTCTATTATATGGCCAAAAATCAGACGAAAATTCTATTCTTATAAAAATTCTATTCTTCTTTGACCGTTGATGAATTTATTTGTGATTTATCTTATCAGCGTCTTATCAGTGTCTGGTGCATAAGAAAAGAATTTCCTCCTATTTATTTTGATTTGAAGATCGATTTTCGCTAATGCTGTCGTCATCCGGTCCAGCGTTTAATTTTATTTTTAAGAGCCCTCATCATTACTGGTTGGAATCGCTCCGTTGGCTTGTCACACTAGATAAATATGCCAGGGAGTTCCTTAGGCAATATAAGTACAGGTGAATAGCCAGCATCACCGACAGGTTGACTCTTGCAGGAGTAGAACCTCAGCAACGGTATTCCGAATTGAGCAAAAACCCACTGAGCTATTCTATGCTCCAGGTCTAGCGTTCACTGCAGTTCTTGGTAATTCAGCGACAAGGACAGCATCATCAATGTATTCAAGGTCCATGATACAATGCCTTGAATTGATTTTTTTATCTCTTGTGGCAAATGGTCTCAGTAACTCAATATATCGCATAATTGAAAATTGTAGGGGAGAGAAATGCAGCATTGAGGCACACCGGCTTATTTCAAAAAATTGTCTCGCACACATTTCTCACATACCCATACGTGCACCGTTGTCTTACATCTTATCACTTATCACCGTCGCCGTCCCGTTAATCGAATCAGAGGTAACAACAAGGTTAATTAAGAATATGTAGATTGTCGGTACGATGTTTCAGTACTCTTTTCAGCGTGAATATTTAATCGCATCATTGCCACGCCTAAATTCGACTTGATCAAGAGACGCGCACTCTTACGAGTCTATTCAGCATAAGAGAGGGGACAAAAAAACTTTCTCTGGGACATCTAGCAGATTGATTTCTCGTTATATTGCTGTACACAGATCCTAACCTCATCTTTTTTTGGAATTGAGAGCAAATTAGCCTTTTTCCTTTTTCCACGCTAATAAACCCATATGACATTAACCGTTACGGTTCATTATCGCATGAGAAGAATAAATTTAATAGAGCGATTTGTGCCCACTCGTATTTGATACTATGCTATGCTTTATATTCATATGAAGAAATAAGGACGAAGTGCTTCAGAAAAAAGGGCAAATCGAAAGAAATTGCTGAAAATTTTATTCTTTTTTTTTTCATTAAAATAAACGAACATAGAATATTATTGTTAATTATTAATGTGTGAAAGCAATAGTTATTCAATGGTATATAATAAATATAAATAAATATTAATATAAATATTAATAAATATTAACAAATATTAATAGAGAAACATGTATGCAGATTTTAATTCAATATAATTATCGAAAATGAAGAGAATTTGAGAAAGCGTTTCGAGTATTTATTTGCAGGGAGGACCAGTTCAAAACCCAGGCGGATTCAGTCCTGGAGAATATAAGTGGACCAGCGATATATGGACTCAGACAATGGAAAAAGGAACGGCTTCTATTTAATGGCATCAGTGATGGCATCGGATCAAAAAGAGCTTGGAAACGTCTACCCTTACCCCTGTAATAAGTACGGCCAATAATGATGAGAGAGAGAGAGCTGAAGCAGTTATAAATTAGATTAAAACTACTACTAAGAAGAAATTTATATATTTAGGGGAAAAATCGAGAATAGGAAAATTATAATTTTTAAATTGTTAAATTATTCCTATAATAATTTTAAAAAAATTAAGCTTTTTCATATACTTAATATTATTAAAAATAAAACT